CAACTTATTTCGCACCGTACGTAGCCAATAATCTGGAGGAGCGTGGGAAGGACAACTAAACACAAAAAGCAGTTCTAAAGGAATTAGTTTAAATCTAGATTTAAAAGGGATGCAACATGTGTGAGCTTTCGCGACAGACAATTGATTTTTGGGTCACAACGCCAATGTTGTGTCATTACACCCTCCACCACCCGACACAAACAAACAAACTAAATTTGCCACGTGAACAAAAGCGCGACAAATGTTTGGATTTTTTCAGCACACCCGGGTGTTGGAGAGCGAGCCACACATATTTAACAATCAGACGCTGCCTTCTCGACAGGCCTGTTCTCCACCTGAAGACGGCTGCTTGCGTTGTGGCCGAAACTTCGTGAGAATTATTTAATTATGTTATATTTTTATTATTTTATTATTTTCCTTCTACGTGACTTTACCGAAAGAACAAAGAAGAAAAAAAAATGAGGTTGCAGTCTCGCGATCTGGCCCATGTACACTTATACCCCGGGTTGCATCGGGGATGCATTCCCGAAACGTGTGACGACGAATATCGAAACGATGTAAATCAAAGAAGCGATTTTCAGGGTGGGTGGTGGAGGCGACGGCTAAAAGGCGACGGATAACGAGACATGACGGACGATGATGATGCTGCTGCTGCTGTCAGCGACGTAGGCGTGGGGATTGAGGCAACGCAAATCAGGTAGTGTAGTGGTACTCGTAATAAAGTGACGACGTACGTGCGAAACGACGTGAAAGGGAGAGACGAAACTCGGAGTCTTACCGTATCAATTATAAATGCCAGCACTGTGTAATAGCGTGCTTGCAATGGGCATCACAACACGCGCTGAAACAGAACCGCCAAGCAGTACATCAGAGTACTTGTACATACAGCCCAGCAAACATGCAACGCTGGGGGGCAACGTTCATTGACGTCGGCCTAACGTTGGCCCATCGACCAATGTTGTGCTAACGTTGTATGTTTACTGGGAGTCCATCAAGGGCAGAGGGACAAAACATTTTTAGAAAATATTCAAAATACCAAATGATTGCACGTGTGAAGATGTGTTTGAAGGAGCGGATTTCCAACATAGTTGTGGAAATTTTTTTAATTCCTCCATGAACATAGGTATATCATGGGATAAATCTTTTCCAGTATCAAAGTATGAAAAATAAGAATAGGGTTTACCCTTTCTGGCAATAAAACAGGTGTTGCTAAGATGTTAAAGCACCAAATAGAAACCTTTTGCAAGGAATCGAGTCTGCATTAACCACACACGTACTGTGGTGAACATGAAAACAAACACACTCTGATATTATCTTCATTGTCTTTGACACTGATTGGCCTACATCAGTTTCAAAGAGAATGCATCATATTATCAGAGAGTGTTTGTTTCCATGTTCACCACAAGTACGCGTGACTAATGCAGAGTTGATTCCTTGCAAAAGGTTTCAATTTGGTGCTTTAACATCTTAACAACACCCGTTATATTGCCAGAAAGGGTAAAACCTATTCTTATTTTTCATAAACATAGGTTTAAAAAATGTAAAAATATATATTTAAAAAACTACTGTGCATAAATTGGGATAGTATCCCAGAGCAGTATAACAATCATCGATCAGATTTAATAATTTAACATTTTTAAAATTGAAATTCTTATAGATTGTATATTTGTTATTTCATGTGTGGGTTCTTAAATACATGCAATTGCGTGTTGTTGTTGTTGTTGTTTGTGCTACAAGTTTAGAAACATTTATAATCTGTGCTCTCTGGTTGCCAGGGTGACGAGTGGTGGGGATGTGTCCTTGCCCAATTCTGGCCCAGCCTGGCTCAGAAACTCAATAAACAATGAGATAGTGAATGATTAAAACGCCTTTCCCCTTTCTACCATAAATCCAGGTGTTAAGATGTTCCAAGCACCAAATAGACACCTCATTACAAGACAATATCAGCATGAGCCACACATACTAGTGGTAAACAATACAATATGTATGCAATATCCTTGAAACTGCACGAGACAGCCTATTTGTATGCCTGTCTCAGCAGTTCTAGGACCAAAGGCCGCCAAAAGGCGAACAAAGCATTAATAAGCTATGGTTAAGCAGTTACATCTTTGGGACTCTTTTGCTAGTGTCCAGATATTAAATAATGACAAAGGCTTTAACAGGTGTATTTATCCCAGAAGGGGTAAAATGCCTTTTAAAAAATGCATCATTCAATATCTTGATTTGAAGCTTTCGTGACTGCAGGAATCCATACTATTTGGTTTAAATATTTTATACCTACATGACTTTACCGAAATAACGAAAGAGTATAATTCAATATCTTGATACTACTGGCTAAATGGGTCCCATATACACGATAAAATGTCCAAATATATATCTCGGAAATTGATTTTTTTTTAAACGTATCCCAAAGAGTACTGACGCCAGCTGCGTTTCCACAGTCGTCCGGCAACATGACCCTGCTATCACTCTGGGGCATTCCTCGAAGGAGGTTTGCCCTAATTCTAGATTTGAAGCTTTCGTGACTGCAAGGATTCATATTCTTGGGTTTTTTCGGTAAAGTCACGTAGGTAAAAGTATTAAAATTTTAATTAATAAAAGTAAAATAAAACAAATAAAAAAATAGGTTTGCCCTAGACTGCACCAGGAGCCTGGGTGGCTCTCTCTCGGCTCAAGTCCTCATCGCCACGTCTCCTTACCGAAGGAAGCAATCATAATAAATAACCACTGGTTAATCTTAGAAGAAACAAAGTGTTTTACAGGATTTAACGTAGGCTTGGATTCGCTTAAACTATCCTATGCGATCATTTTTTTTTCATCGGTTGCCTTTGTATTTTTTTAGACCGAGACTACGTTGTACTGACGTTGGCTCAACCAGATATCTACTTAAGGCTGAGTAAACGTAGGAGTCGTGCAGGACAGGTCTATATATCACTCGCCACTGATGTGTATCATTGCCAAAAAACGCTGAGCCCTGCCTCCTGCCAATGTGCATACTGAGCAGTGGTGCCTTACTGGTGCCAGGCTAGGTGAATGTTAAGCCCTCCATCAAAGGCAACAACACATTCAACCCCCAGCCCTATGCAGTGTACCTTTGCAGACGGCATCCTGCCCCCGTTTGCCATACACGGGCCACCGGACAGACAGCCGCCCAATTCACCAGCACTAAGTGGCGGTTGACGTCACCACGGCGCTCGTGCCAGGCTGGGTGCACGTTGAGGCCACGACAAGTGTCAATGGCTTGCTGACAGGTGTTCATGACACACCTGGACAGACCCCCCCCCCCTCCCCAGGTGTGTTTCGTGTTGATTGACTGAAACGCTGGACAAACAAAGACAAAGACCCCCCGTATAGCCTTAACGTACTTTTTGGGGCAAGTGCTGATAGCGAGTAGCACGGTAGGAAGGCCGGCACGGCACACGAGAGGGTGGGTGGTCAGCACCACGTCCGGCCGCCTTTGTCTCCTTAGCGGCAATGTTTACACCGTACCATGTGTCGATCTGGAGGAAACCCAGGACCGGTTCAGACATTCGTCACTGTTGTTGGCCGTGGGAGGGAATCCTCGACACTCATACAACAGGCTGCCTGTGTGTGTGTGAGACGTGCTATGTCACACACCACCACGACCACCACAACAACAAGGGCCGTCTGTGTTACTGCTCCTGCGCGTGATAATTGAGTGGCTGCTGCAGATGAAGACATGCTGCGAGGAATTATCTGATAAAAAATATACATTACAGCCAAGCGTGCACTTTAATTGCGAATATATATTTAAAAATATATATTTTGCTCACGTTAACTTTAAATCCGTATAAGGCATGTACTGTACATTAAATATTCTACACACTGTTTGCGAATACGTAATATAAATGGCAGTGATATTAACTGAACACATGTAACACACATGTGCAACTTTACTACAGTATAACAGTATCTGTATATGCAACAAGAATGATGTCTCTTATTAACGCAGGGGGGTGAGACGTACCCACAATTGACCCCACCACACCAAAGACATCTGTCGAACCGTGGTGTACACATAGTGCTGGGGGTGGACAATGCTGGAGGGATATTAGACCAGTCGGTTAAAACTCTGCACAGATAGATTCACTAATCCATGGCTGATCTGCCATCTCCCCCAGCCAAATCTAAGTCCACCGTGGATGTAATATTGACTACAGTTCAAACATCCATGCTTATGATATCTTGTTATAATCACTCCACAATATTTGCGAGCTAACACACGCCTCTTTGATGTAAACCCACTACCTAAACCCACGCCCTATAATCAATACATTGTAAACTGAGTTTTTTAATATTGTATACAGTACACACAATGACAGATGTATTAATCGTGGCATATACCTACCTACATTAAGCCGGCACTCGCTAAAATAACGCAATTGAGATAAATTACACAACAGCAGAGCATCCACAAACATGTGTATATTTCAGTACATGTATAATATAAAATAATAAGAATAATAAAATAATGCTTATATAAAGTGCCCAACTATTAAGTGAGAAACCATAATCTGGAATACGTGTTCATCGGAAGGAACAAATACAGTTTATAGCAATTATAGAGTAGTTGCCAAAATGTTAACAATTAAATATACATGAAGTGTTATAGTTCACATGACATCATCGGAGATGTTAATGGAAAATAACAAAATACCCTGATAATTACACCCAAACAACACTGACACTATGCAAATTGCTCGCTGTAGTCACGCTAATGCAATAACAATGGACATGAAATCGTGATCACAAATATATAAACTTCACGGAAGACGAAACAAATGAGTGAAGCACAATTATAATTAGCTTCACCAGCAGGAGTATAGCTGTAATAATAATACTACTACATACTAATGATCTGTAACGACTAACAGCAACATTCACGCGACAATGGAGCTGTAATAACAGATGTAATGGTGCAATAATCCCTGGAATCGAGTGGTGATGCCTCGCCTCCTGCAATGCACATCTCACCATACCCGCTATGCAGCCCTCCGGCTCATGATGAAGATGCCGACGATGAGCAGAACGTGGAGGGTGACAGTGGCTCCTGTTTGTTCTTCTTCTTGAGACGACACCTCATCTCAGCCCTCCTCCCCAGCTTCTATGCCAGCATTGTCTCGGCTGCACATTTGGCCACCTCCCTTCCCACTACCTCTTCCAATTCCTCCTCTTGCCGTCCACTCCTCCGAACGCTTCCACCTCGCTCGAGTCGCGCTTCCTCCGCTTTCTGCTTCTCGTTCCTATTCTCTTCCTCCTGCCTATCCCCTTCACCTCCTCCCCTTCTTTAGGCTCCTCTCGCACCGCTACCTTTTCTTCCGTCTTGTCTCCCTCCACCTTCACCTCTTCCTAAACGATGTGTGCCCCTCCTCCTCCTCCTGCAACCTCTAGTTTCGTATCTCGCTCCCCATTCATTCACCGACTCTTTCTTGAATCGCTCCGTCTCCTGGCTCCTCTTCCTCCTTGCTCTATTCGCTCCTCTTCGAACTCTTCCCTCGTGCCTTGCACCTCCTCCACATCCTCCCGCTTATGCTGTTCTCCAATTCGACCTGAACCTCCTTTTCCCCTTAATCCTCCGCCACCTCTTCCTCCTGCTGCTGCTGCCTCGTGTGTAGATGGGGGGTGTGGTGGCTGCTCTCCCTTGGGGCTGTGTCTGTCTCCAGCTGTCTCCCAGTCTGTTGCTGCTGGCCCGTGTCTCTCTGTCCGTCTCTGTCTCTGCTGATGATGCTGCTGCTGATGCTGATGCCCTGATGTGATTTGCGTCTTTATTTCCAGGACAATGGATCCCGCCCGGATGAGCAACAACGATAATGGGATGCGCAGAGGCGACACGCGCATTGGTGGAGGGGCTCTCTGACGGACGATACATGCGTTGCGCGTGTTTCCCCGCACGAATGTGAGAGTGCGCGTGTGTGAGAGAGAGGTCCAGCGCCTCCCCTAGGTCGACCCAGTCTCAAACGAGTACCTGGTGCGGTGTGTAAGCATCGCCACTGGGGAGACAAAAGCGTTCGGGCGTGGTGCTGACCACCAGCCTCCTCGTGTGTCGTTTCGGCGCTCGCTAACAGCACGTGCCCCCAAGAGTCTGTTTAGGTCTATTAGTGGGATCTTTGTCTTTGTTCATGTGAGATAAAGGCGGCCGGGAGTGGTACTGGCTGGCCATACGAACCACCACGTGCCCCTCAACAGCCTGTGTGGATTACACGGAGGACCTTTGTCTTTGTCCTGGGCCCCCCAATAGATCAACTTAATCCTGAAATGAGTGCTGGACCTCGTGGTGCGTGCGGTGTGTGACTATACAGTATTGGGGAGACAAAGGCGGCCAGGCGTGGTGTTGACCACACCTCGTGCATCGTTCAGAACGTCACAGGTTATCTCCCGAGCAGTAGTTACCCCCATAGTCTGTAAGGCTATATAGGGGATCAGTCTGTACGGCTGTATAGGGGATCAGTCTGTACGGCTATATAGGGAATCTTTATCCGTGATATAGTGTTTGGGTAGGGTAATGTATTGGCAGAGGGAGACTTAATAGAAGTTCGCTAATAGCCCTTGCCACACCAGTCCGTTAATGCTATACGGGTGATCTTTCTCTTTGTTTTGTGTGTGTACGGTATTAATAGGGGGAGCTCTATGGAAACGCATTTAGGGATTATTTGGCCTACTTTTCCACAGTGACCAGGCGTTTTTATAATGGTGAGAAGTTCCCACATTTTACCCCACCACACAAAACAAATCTGCCGGACTGTGGTGTACACATATATCTTGGGTCTTGGGTTAAAAAACAAAAAAATACAAAAAACTACATTTCGATCGCAACACAAGCGGTCGTCTTTTTTCCTGAACGACCGCTTGTGTTGCGATTGAAACGTCGTAGTTTTTAGTATTTTTTTGTTATTTTCTTTGAACCTATCTACGTGACTTTGCCGAAAGACCCAAGAATATGAATTCCAGCAGTCACGAAAGCTTTAAGTGGTGTACACATTTATAGTGCTGGCGGTGGCCGATGGTGAAGGGACTTGAGAACTTGCTCATTGTTTCAACTGCCGCACCAGGAGATGTATAAGGATCTCAGTGCCACATGCACTAACGTAGGACATATTAAACAAGTATAACCCGTAAAAACAAAGTTTTTCACTATAAATCCTTTATATGCGTGGCGGCGAGAGTCCTCTCGTCCTCTGGCTTGAGATGGCTGCCACCTATGGGTCAGATGATTGCATGGCACCATTAAACAATTGGTAATTAAATATAATATTTTTGTCCTAAAAAGTGTAAAATTTTGGATTTTTTTTCACAAACATTAATTGTCACGCACAACGAGTCTGTGTGGAAAATGTCAGCTCGATTGGATCACGGGAAGTGGGTTAAAAAAACGACCGAAAGATTTGCACGGTCGTAAGCAAGCAAGCGCGCAAGTGAACTTAATATAAAGGATTTAAAAAGACCCGCACTACAAAGTCCAGAGTCCACTGGGTCATAACATGGGACGTGTAGGCCTGCAGGCCACACAGCTGGGTCTTTAGAGAAGATCTAAACACGACGTGTGAGCTCGCCTGAATAGCCACTGGTGGGAAGGCATCCCATACTCGGTAAAGTCTCCGAAAAAAACAAAGAGTATGGATCCTTGCAGTCACGAAAACTTCAAATCTAGAATTAGGCATTCCATAGTTTGGGCGCAGCACAGATTCACATTAAATGTGAATCATACCGGGCGTAATATTTCCTGATTAACTAAATATAATGATTCGTAATGCGTATAAATATCTCACTAAATGACATTTTACGGATATATGCATGACCATTAACGTGCGAATCAAATTGACATGCAACTGGACTCTTCTCTATATTAGCGAAAACAGGGAATTGATCGGGACCAGCTACACTAGTTTATATATGTACGTATGTTGAACTTCTTTCTTTTACGTAGCCAACCGTGCTAATCGTAGGTGCGGGGGAAGGACAACAAACTGAACACAAAAATAATTTCTAAAGAAACGAGTTTAAATCTAGCTTTAAAAGTGCATAGCTCCAGCGGCTTCTTCACATCGTAAAGGAAGAACGTTCCAGACGGCCGCTGAAGCAGCGCATCTGAGAGCGCCACGCGATGCGGTGACCGCCCGCCTCTGTTCGATGACCCAGCCTCGAAGCCGCCACTGCCACGAGGATGACCACAAAAAAAAACCATCGATGGTCACAATCGATAGCGAGCAATGAAGCTCCTGGTTAAAGCTGTTTTCTGGCCACATTGTCAATCCGCGCCCCCAACGGGAAAACTCAGAAGCAAAATAAAAACCTCGGGACCTGGATACCCTCAGGTACAGATCGACTGTGGTAGATTAATACCCATGGGATCTTTTTTTTGGCGGTATCAAAGTACAGTACTGTACGTACAAAAATAAGAATAGTTTTCACCCTTTCTGGCAATACAATAGGTGTTAAGATGTTCAAACACCAAAAAGGTACCTTTTGCATGGAATTAAGTCTGTATTAACAACTCGTACTTGTGATAAAACATCGAAACAAGCAAAATCTTATAGCTTGTGCATCGTCAATCAGTTTCAATGATAATGAATATATTGCAGTAGGGGCGCCGCGGTGGCTATAAGATGTTAACTTTCTCGCCTGGTATAGAGGAGGTCGTGGGTTGGATCCCGACCCTGACACCTGTTGTATATTTGGAGTTTGCGTGTCTCTCTCTCATCATCAAGGTGGTGAGATGTTTACTTCCTCGCCTGGTATACAGGAGGTCGTGGGTTGGATCCCGACCCTGACGCCTGTTGCATATTTGGAGTTTGCGTGTCTCTCTCCGCGGTCGCGTGCATTCTTCCACGGGTTTTCCCTCCATATTTAAAATCAACGTGTGCTTAGAGTATTTGTCCGCTATGAATGTCCCCATGATAGACCACTTCGTTGAGCTATCAGTCTCAAGGCTCATCAGTCTCAAGACTAGCCCAGTCTCACGATTCATCCAGTCTCAAAACTCAATCTCAAGACTCACACAATCTGTAGGATTCTCCCAGTCACAAGACTCACCCAATCTCAACACTCACCCAGTCTCAAGATTCATCCAGTCTCAAAACTCAATCTCAAGACTCACACAATCTGTAGGATTCTCCCAGTCTCAAGACTCACCCAATCTCAACACTCACCCAGTCTCAAGACTAGCCCTGTCTCAAGATTCATCCAGTCTCAAGAATCACTCAATCTCAAGACTCACACAATCTGTAGGATTCTCCCAGTCTCAACACTCACCCAATCTCAAGACTCACCTAGTCCCAGTCTCAACACTCACCCAATCTCAAGATTCACTCAAACTCAACACTCACCCAGTCTCAAGACTAGCCCAGTCTCAAGATTCATCCAGTCTCAAGACTCACTCAATCTCAAGACTCACACAATCTGTAGGATTCTCCCAATCTCAACACTCACCCAATCTCAAGACTCACCTAGTCCCAGTCTCAACACTCACCCAATCTCAAGATTCACTAAAACTCAACACTCACACAATCTGTAGGATTCTCCCAGTCTCAACACTCACCCAATCTCAAGACTCACCTAGTCCCAGTCTCAACACTCACCCAATCTCAAGATTCACTCAAACTCAACACTCACCCAGTCTCAAGACTAGCCCAGTCTCAAGATTCATCCAGTCTCAAGACTCACTCAATCTCAAGACTCACACAATCTGTAGGATTCTCCCAATCTCAACACTCACCCAATCTCAAGACTCACCTAATCCCAGTCTCAACACTCACCCAATCTCAAGATTCACTCAAACTCAACACTCACACAATCTGTAGGATTATCCCAGTCTCAACACTCACCCAATCTCAAGACTCACCTAGTCCCAGTCTCAACACTCACCCAATCTCAAGATTCACTCAAACTCAACACTCACCCAGTCTCAAGACTAGCCCAGTCTCAAGATTCATCCAGTCTCAAGACTCACTCAATCTCAAGACTCACACAATCTGTAGGATTCTCCCAATCTCAACACTCACCCAATCTCAAGACTCACCTAGTCCCAGTCTCAACACTCACCCAATCTCAAGATTCACTAAAACTCAACACTCACACAATCTGTAGGATTATCCCAGTCTCAACACTCACCCAATCTCAAGACTCACCTAGTCCCAGTCTCAACACTCACCCAATCTCAAGATTCACTCAAACTCAACACTCACCCAGTCTCAAGACTAGCCCAGTCTCAAGATTCATCCAGTCTCAAGACTCACTCAATCTCAAGACTCACACAATCTGTAGGATTCTCCCAATCTCAACACTCACCCAATCTCAAGACTCACCTAGTCCCAGTCTCAACACTCACCCAATCTCAAGATTCACTAAAACTCAACACTCACACAATCTGTAGGATTCTCCCAGTCTCAACACTCACCCAATCTCAAGACTCACCTAGTCCCAGTCTCAACACTCACCCAATCTCAAGATTCACTCAAACTCAACACTCACCCAGTCTCAAGACTAGCCCAGTCTCAAGATTCATCCAGTCTCAAGACTCACTCAATCTCAAGACTCACACAATCTGTAGGATTCTCCCAATCTCAACACTCACCCAATCTCAAGACTCACCTAGTCCCAGTCTCAACACTCACCCAATCTCAAGATTCACTCAAACTCAACACTCACACAATCTGTAGGATTCTCCCAGTCTCAACACTCACCCAATCTTAAGACTCACCTAGTCCCAGTCTCAACACTCACCCAATCTCAAGATTCACTCAAACTCAACACTCACCCAGTCTCAAGACTAGCCCAGTCTCAAGATTCATCCAGTCTCAAGACTCACTCAATCTCAAGACTCACACAATCTGTAGGATTCTCCCAATCTCAACACTCACCCAATCTCAAGACTCACCTAGTCCCAGTCTCAACACTCACCCAATCTCAAGATTCACTCAAACTCAACACTCACACAATCTGTAGGATTCTCCCAGTCTCAACACTCACCCAATCTCAAGACTCACCTAGTCCCAGTCTCAACACTCACCCAATCTCAAGATTCACTCAAACTCAACACTCACCCAGTCTCAAGACTAGCCCAGTCTCAAGATTCATCCAGTCTCAAGACTCACTCAATCTCAAGACTCACACAATCTGTAGGATTCTCCCAATCTCAACACTCACCCAATCTCAAGACTCACCTAGTCCCAGTCTCAACACTCACCCAATCTCAAGATTCACTCAAACTCAACACTCACACAATCTGTAGGATTCTCCCAGTCTCAACACTCACCCAATCTCAAGACTCACCTAGTCCGAGTCTCAACACTCACCCAATCTCAAGATTCACTCAAACTCAACACTCACCCAGTCTCAAGACTAGCCCAGTCTCAAGATTCATCCAGTCTCAAGACTCACTCAATCTCAAGACTCACACAATCTGTAGGATTCTCCCAATCTCAACACTCACCCAATCTCAAGACTCACCTAGTCCCAGTCTCAACACTCACCCAATCTCAAGATTCACTCAAACTCAACACTCACACAATCTGTAGGATTCTCCCAGTCTCAACACTCACCCAATCTCAAGACTCACCTAGTCCCAGTCTCAACACTCACCCAATCTCAAGATTCACTCAAACTCAACACTCACCCAGTCTCAAGACTAGCCCAGTCTCAAGATTCATCCAGTCTCAAGACTCACTCAATCTCAAGACTCACACAATCTGTAGGATTCTCCCAATCTCAACACTCACCCAATCTCAAGACTCACCTAGTCCCAGTCTCAACACTCACCCAATCTCAACACTCACTCAATCTCAAGACTCATCCAGTCTCAAGACTCACTCAATCTCAAGACTCACCCAGTCTCAAAACTCACCCAGTCTCAACACTCACCCAGTCCTCAAGACTTTCAGGGGAATTCTGCTGCTGCATTGGGATGTTTTGGCCAATCCAATACGTGCGGGTTTGGCTTCGCGTGAAAATAAACCGGGGGAACCCGGAGGAAATTCCGCACAGATGTATTCATTGCACAATTCCTTGCGAAGCGAAACCCTGTCCGGTGCTGCCACCTACCGGCCCCGTTTCCCGTCACGCGGGGCGACCCGAGTAGTGGGCGGAGCCTACTGAGGGAGTGGGCGGAGCCTACTGAGGGAGTGGGCGGGGCCTATTGAGGGAGTGGGCGGAGCCTACTGATGGAGTGGGCGGAACCTACTGAGGGAGTGGGAGGAGCCTATTGATGGAGTGGGCGGAGCCTACTGAGGGAGTGGGCGGAGCCTACTGATGGAGTGGGCGGAACCTACTGAGGGAGTGGGCGGAGCCTACTGGGGGGGTGGGCGGAGCCTACTGAGGGAGTGGGCGGGGCTATCGAGACATTTTGCTTGGCGATATATCGCGATATTTTGCGCGACGCATTGTTTCCCTCCGTGTCAGCGCGTCGGCAGCAAGTGGCCGGAAGTCGGTGTCGCATCGGATCGGGTCCGACCGGAAACGCGACGCGCGTGCAATCGAAACGGTTCCCCCCTTGCATCCCTGACCCGCATCCCTGACCAAAAGGGGGGTCCTCCATTCTCCCCCGCCCTCCTTCCCGTTCCCCCCTGGGCGCTTCTCGCGACCCGTGAGGCGCAACGCAGCCAGCAGCCCCGGGCCACCGCACCGGCGGGAGCGGCCCCCCGTCCCACGTGGATGCCGCCGAGATGACAGAGGGCGAGTTGAGCTCCGCGCTGCGGGACGAGGCGTTTGCGAGAGACGCGGCCTGGGTGAGCAGGAGGCTGAGGCCGATAACGCCGTAAAGCAGTCACGAGACGCTCGCTGTCTTCATGCTGCTGCTGTTGTTATTGTTGTTCAATGTGTATGTACGCCTGTGTGTGTGTGTGTCGTAGCGGGGAGCGGTGGTGTAGTGGTTAGCGCTGCGCTGCGCCACGAACCCGGCCGCCCGAGTTCGATTCCCGCTCACGGTCAACACGGAATATCTCAACCGGTAGCTGGTGCGGGGTGTAGTAAACATCGCCAGTGGGGAGACAAAGGCGGCCGGGCGTGGTGCTGGCCACCCAACCCCCTCGTGTGCCGTGTATATTTGTCTTTGGTGCCGTAGTGTGGTCGTTATCCAGCTCCTGTGCGGGATGCTGCTGCTGCTGCTGCGTTCGACTTGTGTCGGTTCATTCTTATTTTAATCCCTGATACCGAATTTGTTTACATATTTCACAATTTTCTAGAGTTAATTTTATTTTCCATTCCCTAGCCGCTGGCTCTGGCCTTGTATAACATTGGGGGCTTTCCCAGGTGTTATTGGTAGCCGCCGTAGTAATGGGGTTTCGTTAAGAGGGCCCAGTGGGCAGATGCATAAAGCAACTTAAACACAACGCTGAGCTCCGATTTACACCGGTGGCAATTAAGGTTTAATTTCAGGGGTTTCTTCCTTAATTATTGCTGTAAACAAGTCTACGCACCGCCCTATTGCGTAGGCAGGAAAACGCACCTAATTTGGCTTTTGAATTCGTCACTGGCAATACGCATTTGGTGGCTGGCCCCTTGGATCAACTTGGCCTCGCCGCAGAACCGGGGAATTTCCACAAGTGGGGCTCAAGCCCGTAAACATGAGCTGAGCACCGTTCCACGAGCGGGAGACAGTCTTTTAATGGGGTTTTTTCTTCTAAAAGAGTTATCCTCTCCGATGCGTGGGGGTGTCTCCAGAAAGTATGGTATAAAACTAATAACTGTATTTGGATTTTACCAGGTAAAGCCCACTGAGCTATGTAGCTCCTTTTCAGAAGCGACCTGGCCACATGATAGCTCAACAAAGTGGCTTATCGCGTGGAAATTTATAGCAGCCAAATGCGTGTTATCCCCTTGTACGTGTGGGATTTCTCCATGTAACTTGGTGAACACAAAATATATTATTGTGGACACATGGATTCTGTGATACATTTGAACACGAGTTTGTTCTCAGAAGATGACCCATTCCAGTTGATTGGTGACGGGGCTGAATGATCTCAGCCCGGTCACAAATGAAATGAGACCCCCCCCAGTTTAACCGCAGACGCCTGTCTGGATTCGAACTCAACTCCTCAGCCATGCCAGCTCAGCATTGTGAGCCCTGAACCATCCTTCCAACTCAAAGATTCAAACATGACAGCCGCAAAGTCCGAGCCGATTGCTCGCCCTACCAACGATGCCACTTGTTCGGACATTAACTATTTAACTATTTAAATTATATTTATTTGAGCACTGACCTATTTATCTCTTTTTCAGAAACAACCTGACCATAAATGTGATAGCTTAACGAAGTGGATATTGATTGCAGCCAAATACTGTGCTCTCAATGCATGTTTCTAAATGTGGAGGGGAAAATCAGAGGACCCAGAGAAAAAATCCACACAACCACGGGGAGAGAGACACGCAAACTCTAAATATACAGCAGGCGTCAGGGTCAGGATCAAACCCACAACCTCCTGCATACCAGGCGAGGTATTTAACATCTCGCCACCGTGGTGCCTATACAGTATAGGTGAACCATGACAGGGATTGGGCTCTTCATCCCAAATGCACGACCCTCCTGCGAGAGTCCCAGAGACGTGGCTCCCCTGGATAAATGCCACTTTAAGTTCTCATGTAATAAGACGGATGAATGAGTCAAGATCGTCCCTTATTCTCCTGATTGTACCTTATTCGCACCCCCTCCCCCATACTATATTTTAAAAGGATATTTTGAGTGCGCCTTCTAGTGTAGTGCGGTAAGTGTGAGTGACCAGTTTTGTATCATTTTACCGAGCACAAGTTTGGGGTGCGTCTTACCTTCCGGGAGTGTCTTATAATCTAGATAATGTGTAAATGTCTTATTGGGTTCAACCTGGCAGTGGTGCAGCTCGTTACGAATCGGAGCATCTGAACCATCTTCCACTTTCATGACGATGCCATGAGGTTATTTCCTACGACGTGGCTTTGTTTATATCAAAATTGTGAATTTGAAACTCGTGTAATGGCACAGGCGTCGAGGTGTCGTGTTTAATTTGCGTGCGGGTTTTATCAGCAGTCGAGTACATGTGCAGTACGACGGTCGTCGACTTACGAACATCACCAGTGGCAATTAAGGAATGCACAGGCTACACTTGACTGTACACCTATATATATTGACTGTAGAGTCAAGTTTAGCCTGCCCATATCTGTCAACCCCTTATCAGTGCCGACCTTATTACAGACCAATTCAGACCATATTGGTCACCTCGTGCCCTTATAAATCTCAACGTTCATCCTACAAAGTCCCATCACCTGAAAACTCAATTTCCTGTACAGTACAAGAATAGGGGTCATCCATTTAGTACGTACGCAAAAATCTGTCAAATCTTGACCTCTCCCCCCCTCCCTGTATGCACGCGTACTTTTTACACCGCCCCCACCTGCGTACGTACACTTGATGCACCCCCCCCTGAATCCTATAGAACGGCGATATTTAATCCACGCAGAAACGATCAAGGATTAATAATATTAACCTGTTTAAGCAAACTGATAGTCCACCGCCGGGCTATCTAACTCATTTGTAGGCCAATGTAGACAAATTATTATCGAGGCTTCAACCCCCCCTCCCCCCGTTTCCTACGTGTACGTACATTGTCAGTAGGCCCCCCATACGCAAGCGTTCGCATTTGGGTTAACCCCCCCTCCATGCGTACGTACTAAATGGATGGCCCCATACGGGTAAACCATATGGGCTGACAGGTATGCCTGCACCTTATCTGGGAAGACTAATCAACACATATCCACCAATGCTTTTAGAAGGGCCAGGAACGAATGCACAAAGTGGATATGACATTCTCAATACATTTTGAATAACGGTCAATGTTTAAAAAAAAATTCAGATACACTTGTATCAACTGTTTAGCCAACACTTCATGTGGCTAAACTTTGTTTTTGTTTGCATACCGTCTCTTCCGCATGCACAGCCAAGAACTGTATACTTTTCTTTGCACGTATTTCTCTGTGCCGTTTGTGGCCTCCAGGTGTGGCAGCGTGACGGAGGCAGCAGTTTACAACAACACATTTTGGGCCATCTGGCACGCTTCGTGCCCGGCATCCACCGCACTTGTGGTGGCTTTGAAGCGGCGACTCGCACCCGGCCCAGCGTCCCGGAGGGCAGCACTCCTGAAACTCCCAGCACCAGCAGCAGCACCAGCAGCAGCAGCAGCAGCAATGCGCCACCCGGAGGAACGCCCGAAACACCCAACGCAGTCACTGCAACGCCGGGCGGCGATTCTGAAACGGCCGACGGTGGCAATGACGCTGACGAGGGCCTGGGAGGACAAGGGGAGCTGCTGGTTCGCCGCGTCCTGCTGGATCCCCTCGGCTGGTTCCTGTGCGGGGAGGATCCGGAAGCCGGCTTCCCCCGCTTGCAGCTGTCTAACCGACCAGCACAGCTGTGCGGGCACGTGTTCCGCAGCGGGGAGCCCACATACTCGTGCAGGTGGGAGGAGGGCGACAGTCGACAACAGTAGGGCTTGAGAGTCGCACCAAATTGCGTCGGGTTTGAAATGTTTGCTTTTTGAGACGGGTGACTGCGCATGAAGAGCGCAATGTCTCGTCTGAGTGGCAAGGCAGCGTGAGCTCTGTTTGAAGTGACACTCGGCCAAACAAAACTGCCCGTCTTGTGTCCTGCAGGGAATGTGCAGCAGACCCCACGTGTGTGCTCTGCATGGACTGCTTCCAGCAGAGCGTCCACCGCACCCACAGATACAGAGTGAGTAAGGATGAAAGCGATAACTCTATTCCACTGTACAACCAAGCTGCGGTGACGCTCTGTTGTCAGTGTACCGACTTACATTACATGCAATGAATGCAAAATTTGCCCACCCCTATCCCTGCTTGGCCCCAAACCAGATTCAGATGTCTTGTGAGGCCATCATATCACAGTTTAGGTCTGACTCGGTGCAGCCAATAGAAAAGCAGTCGTGCTGCGAGGGCCTCATGCTGGCTCGGCTCGGATGTGCTATTGTAAAAAGGAAATGAGTGACTGAGTGACGGTGAGCAAGCCAGAGAGCGCATGATCGAATGAGTGAGCTAGGGAGTGTTATATGAGGTCAATGTAACTCTTGCTGATGATGTGCTTGTGCTGATTTGGTGAACGTAAAGCTGTGGCAGAGTGGTTCGCACATTGTACTCCAACCCGGCTAACTTGGCTTCGATCCCTGGCCGTGACGGAGAACATAAGTAGCCTGCCGTTTATAAACCTGTCTTGGGCCCCCCCTCTAGGCCGACTCGGCCTTTAATTAACACCTGGTACTGTGTGTAACCATCAGCATTGCCGTGACAAAGCCAGGCGAGCATGGTGCTGATCATATCTGACCCACCGTGCGCCGTGCTGCCATTAACATGTGTTTCGCTGACAACACTTTCCCCGACAGTCTGGAAGTTATATGGGGGGTTATATCTATGGGACCATTTTTCCAGTATCAAAAGGCGTTATCTGGTCTCACACTGGTGAGACAAGGTCATAAAGAAGGCTGCCTCTGGTGTAGGCCAATCAGTTTCGAAGACGATGCATCAAATATTATCAGAGCATGTTTGTTTGCATGTTTTGCCACAAGTACGTGTGATTAATGCAGACTTGATGCCTTGCAAAAGGTATCTTATTCGGTGTTTGAACATCTTAACACCTGTTTTATTGCCGGAAAGGGTAAAACCTATTCTTATTTTTCATCATTTATATGGGGGGGTGTTTGTGCGTGTGCAGATGAGTACGTCGGGTGGCGGAGGGGTGTGCGACTGCGGAGACCATGAAGCGTGGAGGACAGGGCCGCACTGCAGCATGCATGCGCCGGGACACGCTGACGCAGCAGCCACTGTGAGCAACGCAGCCGCGGCCCCCGCAAGTGCACGTGTAGCGTGCGTGGGTTCACGTGCACCTCCTTGTTGTTAATACACTGCCGGACAAGGGCCTGTCCTGTCCGTGCCGGTTGCAGGGATTATTCGTCCTCATTTATGGCAGTCATTGGTGTCGGTTGAGGCGCTGCGGTGGCGAGATGTTAACTACTTCGTCTGGTGTACAGGAGGTCGTGGGTTCGTTCACAACCATTGACGCTTGCTTTATATTTGGAGTTTGCGTGTTCTCCCCGTGGTCACGTGGACTTTTCTCCGGGTCCTCCGTTTTTCCCCTCAACATTTACAAACATGCATTTAGAGTACTTGGCTTCCACATGATAAGCCACTTCGTTGAGCTATTATTTGTGGCCAGGTTGTTTCTGAAAAAGAGCTATATAGTTCTGGTAAAATTAAAATAGTTAATATTTTTAAGGCCCAGCACATAAACGTGGGAGCATAAAAGTACTGTACAGAAGTGGATTTTCTGCACTTTTCTTGGCCATAACAGCAGAAGATAACCCTGTAGCCCTATAATAACATCTTTTGTGCATTGTGGCCACCCATCCAAGCACTATCCAGACTCAATTTCTGCTGAGCTTCTTGAAATCGGGGGTGTTCCAGGTGACTTCGTCATCGGCATAGTATATTTGTTACGCTTGTTTACCCAGGATAGCCTCTCTAAATATTGACTTTTTACAGCAGGGTCCTGCCAAGTTTATTATACACATGCGCTGTGTGTAAATGGAGAGAAGTGGTGAATAAACCACTGTGCTTTAATCCCAGTGATCCGTGTTTAGATTCCCAGCCATGTGCCATATCGGTGGCATGTGGTATCAGAACTAGTTCAGGGCCACTCCTCTAAGCCAATTCAGCTTTAAACGAGAACCTGCAATGGTGTGTACACAAAAATGTAGGCAGGTGTGCTTATAGCTGCTAGGCACCGAACAATCAACCCTCCCCTGGCGATTCAAGAATGATGTCCAATTGGGGTCATTATTTGATTCAAGAATAGATTATGTTTGTCTTGTTATTACTGACTTGTTTGTGTGGTTTGTGTATTATTTATTGTTTCGTCTTGTTTTGTTCTCGTAGCCTAAAGGTAAATTAGCATACAACTGGAATATCATTTGCTTGAATCTTAAATAATTGATTGGCATCAGTGTTCATCCCACGAATTGATTTAACATGCTGACAGGCCTGAATAGGGACACACTGTTACACTTTGCCTGTCCTGCCCAGGCTTGCGCGCCATGCCAGCCTTAGTAGGTGCTCACTAACAGCATTTGCCGTCACAGTCTCTGGCAACATGAGGTGGTTTTTAGTGTTTTTTACGTGCGTGTGTGTGTGTGTGCAGGTGAGCGGTGGCACAGTGGTTAGCGCACCGTGATATACGAATCCGGCAACCCGAGTTAGATTCCCACTCATGGCCAATACCAGTGACAATTATCTCTGAACTGATCCTGAGCCTTCCCTAGGTCAACTCATCCTCAAACTAGTACCTGGTGCCATGTGTAAACATCGCGACTTGGGAGACAAAGGCGGCTGGCTGTGGTGCTGGCCATCTAACCCCTCATGTGCCATGCCAGCCTTCATCGGTGCTGCTCGCTATAACAGCACTTGCCCCAACAGTCTGTTGAGGTTATACGGGGGGGCTCTTTGTCTTTGTGCAGGCGGGCGTAGGCGTTCTTCCTGATGGCGTGGAGGAGCGAGCGCGAACCCTCTTCCCCGTGCTGCTGCAGTACGCCATCGACGCGCTCACGTGGGACCCCTCGCTGGGCCCTCTGCTGCGCAACTTCCACCAAACCCACACGTACGCTACTTACGCCCTGCCCTGCGGTTTCTCCTCTTGGGGGGGGGGGGTGGGCTAATGAGTGATGTGGCTGGGCATCGGGAGGCAGCCACGGGTAGCCTTGAAATGCCCATACCCTGAAGTAAATTGTACTTGGTTCTGAATTTATGTTATTATTGTAAACATGCATGCGTATAATGTGTGCATGCGTGTGTATGTGTGTGTGTGTGCAGTGATGAAGTGTATCACTGTGTCCTGTACAATGACGAGGTGCACACATTTAACGATGTCATCGGCTGTCTGGTGGTGGCCATCGGCTGCTCGGAGAGGGAGGCCTTTTCACTCGCCTCCGCTGTGGACCGTCAGGTGGGTGGGGCCACAATCCACGGCACTAACGCCGCCATGATCACCAGCACTAATAACAACACGATCACCAGCACTAACACCACCACGATCACCACCACTAACACCACCACCACGATCACCAGCACTAAAACCGCCACGATCACCAGCACTAACACCGCCATGATCACAGCACTAACACCACCACGATCACAGCACTAACACCACCACGATCACCACCACTATCACCGCCATGATCACCAGCAGTAACACCACCACGATCACGGCACTAACACCACCATGATCACCAGCACTAACACCGCCATGATCACCAGCACTAATAACAACACGATCACGGCACTAACACAGCCACGATCACCAGCACTAACACCACCACGATCAGGGCACTAACACCACCACGATCACGGCACTAACACCGCCACGATCACAGCACTAATAACAACACAATCACGGAATTAACGCCACCAGGATCACCAGAACTAACACCACCACGATCACCAGCACTAACACCCCCATGTTCACCAGCACTGACACTAACAATGACACAGATTATGCTAGCAACCACCAACACACCATCAAAAACAAACAACATGCCAAACGATAACCAGCGTGCTAAACAAGAACATCCAAAAAGTTGAGATCACAAGTCTGACCCCTTTCTCCTCTTCCCACAGGGTCGCAAGTCTGTGTACTGCGGCTCGCAGCAAGTGTGCGAGGAAATCAAGAGAATCATCGTTGTAAGTGTCTGTGTTAGTGTCTTCATCTGCAGCAGCCTTTTAATTATCACGTGCAGGAGCAGTACACGTAGAGTTTGTTGTTGTTGTGTGCGTGTGAGACATAGCCTATGTCACATACACACATAAATAGGCAGCCGATTGTGTGTATGGGTGTCTAGGATTCCGGCTCATGGCTAACACCAGTGATGAATGTCTGAACCGGTCCTGGGCCTCCTCTAGGTCGACTTAGCCTCAAATGAGTACGTGCCTGGTGCGGTGTGTAAACATCGTGGCTAGGGAGACAAAGGCGGCCGGACGTGGTGCTGACCACCCACCCCCTCGTGTGCTGTGGCGGCCTTCATAGGTGCTCGCGAACAGCACTTGCCCCAAAAGTTTGCTAATGCGACATGGGGGATCTTTTTTTGTTACAGCCCTTTGCCAATCCATGGCTGGATTAGAGCCTACCCCACGCCATCCAGATCATGGGAGTTAACTTGACCATATTTCACCTCCTCGGTCGGAGCAGGTTGGTGAAGGCGGGGGAGCATATCCGCAGGCGCATAGAAGTGTGGCACAACAATGCACTGTCCTCTGTAGTGGCCATGTGGCTTGGCTCGTTCACCAGAAAACATACACCCATACATGTATGTAGTATGTATGTTGAACTTCGCACCGTACTTAGCCAACCGTGCAAATTGGAGGTGTGGAGGAAGGACAACAAATTAAGCACAAAAAGCATTTCTAAAGAAGTGAATTTTCAATCTAGATGATTTAAAAGTGCATAGCTCCAGTGGCTTCCTCATGCCAGAAGGAACAGCATTCCAGATGGTCGCAGATGCACATCTGAAAGCGCGCAATGCATGGCCCTTATTTGTTCAATGGTTAGCCAAAAGCCGCGACTGCGAGAATGACCGGAGCTGACGTGGTGGTTCATGCTCCTTGAGAATCGGCGAGGTATCGTGGTTCATTTGTAGCGTGCACTTTTCTTGTGTGTGATGAGCATCACTGTCGCCCGCCCTCACCGCCGCCACTGCAGGGCCGTAGCTCTCCACGGCGCGGACAAAAGGCGCTGCGCACGGAGGTGGAGTCGGCCTCGCTTTTCGCCCACCAGACGTTCGCGACGCGCCTGCTAGCCTGGCTCAATCACATCTGCGAGACATGCGGTGAGCGGCCGAACAAGCGAGCGAGCGCGCGCGTGTAGTCGTCGACGTGGGTTGTACCCTGAAGCCACTTAGACGCATGTCGACCTGTGTAGGGGGACGGCCATGTAGAATGGAAATAATAAATAACAAAAATAAAACATAATAAAATAATTCTCACGACGTTTCGGCCACAACGCAAGCAGCCGTCCTCAGGTGAAGAACAGGTCTGTCAGAAGGACAATCGAAAAAAAAAGACGGCCATGTAATTAATTTTTTGGCCAGCAACTCGTTCCAATCGTCTTACTGCGTCTGCAGTAGTATTGAGCGAAGAGACGTGGCTGTGTGGCTCAGACAGCCAGTATGGTCATGGTCAGGGGTCAGAAACTAAAATAACAAGAGCAAACTCAATAGTTCAAGAGCTGCAATGCATGCAAATTCACATCACAAAGAGCTACGTGTAGCGTCAGAGCCGCAGGTTGCCAACCGCTGGCCATGGTTATAGACGCTGAGCTCGCACTGCCCAAAATGCAAATAAGGATTCCAGCCACACGTGATTAACATAGATTCTCACGAACTTTGATTATCTCGGCTCAGATTTGTAATGTGGATTTTCACCTAACTCGGTTTGTCTTAGCCATAAGGCATTAAATTATTCTGGGTTGAATTGGGTACAGTGTAATAAAACGGTATTTTTTTTCGTAGCATCCCAGCAATGTGACATGTGCTTCCTGTAATTACAACTTGCTGTTATTGAACTCTCAGCATCCAGCTGGTTATGACATCACAGCCATCTCTATTTGTCCTAGCGAAGGTGGCCGGGTCTGCGAGTGTGCCCAATGTTCACCTTGCCACACACACCACACACACACACACACACTCCGCGCCACCTAGCTGAGCGCCGTGCTGACCTTAACGGGCGCTCGCCAACGGTGCTTGTCTGGTCTGCTGCAGAGGGCCTGCGCGTGCTGGTGTGCGAGGCTCTGCTGGCTGGCGGTGACGCCTCTCCCGTCTGCATGCTCATGCTCCAGGACTCGCGCCTCTGGAAGGGTAAGAGCACACGCCGTGTGGATCTTTGCTGATGAAATACCACCGCCCTCAGACACACTGTTGCCTCCGATCGATCCAAATTGGCTTTTGGGTCCAAGGAGGGACGAGGGGGGGGTGGGGGGGTGCATGATAATGGTCATGTTTAGATCTCAACAACTTGAGTTTAAAATCCCAACCATGGATGACATCGTAGCAGATGGGTCTCCGAACATTTATTTTCCCTCTCCTCGATCGACTCAACCTTAAATGAGCACTCTACCTCTTGCTTTATGTAAACGTCACTTCTGGGGATACAAAGGTGGCTCAACTTGGCGCCGGTCACAGCTGCCCCGGTGTGCTGTGCCTAAGTTAATCATTGTGCACTGACAGCACTTGCCGCTTTGGTCTGGAAGACTAAACGGGGGGATCTTTGTGCTTGCTTGCATGCACACGTGTGTATGTCTTAAAGGGTGATGCAGACCCCCCGGGTTTTGGCTTGGTGCTAATCTTGTGCACACGTGAGCGCTTGCATCTGTATGTGCGTGCGTGCCTGTGAGTATGATTACGTGTGCAGTGGCCACACCAGTAGTGTAGCGGGGTTAACGCGCTGGACTACGAACCTGATGCCCAGAGTTCGATTCCCGCTGACGGCCAACACCAGTGACGATTATCTGAACCGGTCCTGGGCCTCCCCTAGGTCCACTTAGCCTCAAATGAGTACCTGGTGCGGTGTGTGAACAGAGCCACTGGGGAGACTAAAGCGGTGTGGCGTGGTGCTAGCCACCCACCCACTCGTGTGCCGTGCTGGCCTTCATAGGTGCTCGCTAACAGCACTTGCCCCAACAGTCTGTTAAGGCTACACGGGGTGTCTTTGTCTTTGGTGGTCGCACCACTCTCTTGTGTGCCATGCCATCCTCAATAATAGGTGCTGACAAACAGCACGTGGCCCAACACTCTCGTTTACTAAGTTTGTTGAACTTCTCTCGCACCGTACGTAGCCAACCGTGCTAATCGAAGGCTACACGGGGCGATGTTTGTCTCTGCGTGTTGCTGGGCAGGAGCGAGGAGTGTGCACTACGACCTGATCATGGGCAGCCTCCTACTGGAGGCCGAGTACAAGCGCCATTTCGCCGTCGTGTTCACACGGGTAAATCCCTCGCGCCCGGGGAGAACGCGAGAGCACACGTCCGCTGGGTGTCCCTTGCATGTCAACGCGCACATGCATGTGCGTGTGTGTCAGTCTGTCAGTCTGTGGGGGAGCGGGAGTGGTTCGTGCGCTGCGCTACAATCCCGGCTACCAGAATTCGATTCTCGCTCACCAGTGACGATCGTCTTAACCGGTCCTGGGCCTCCCCTAGATCAACTTGACCTCAAATGAGTACCTGGTGTGGTGTCTAAACATCGCCGTTACGGATACAAAGGCGTGGTGCTGGCCATCCACCCCCACGTTTGCCATGCCGGCCTTAATAGATGCTCGCTCACATAACTTGCCCCAACAGTATGTTATATGGCTATATATATATATATATTTTTGGAGCAGTAGTGCTTCGCCCGCTGCACTACAATCCTGGCTATCAGAGTTTGATTCCAGCTCACGGCCAACACCAGCAACACATTTTTTAACCAGTCCTGGGCCTCCCCTTATGTTGACTTGTTGCGATATGTAAACATGGCCACTGGGGAGACAAAAGCAGCCTGGCGTGTTGTTGGCTACACCCCACCCCACCTCGCGTGCCGTGCCGGCCTTTATAGTTGCTCAGTTACAACACTTGCCCCAAAAGTCAGTTAAGGCTTTGTCTTTTTGCAGAACGGGCATAGGTATTCTGGGAGGATAAACTGAGAATTTTGTTTGGTATGCGTGTCTGTGTGTGTGTACGTATAAGCATATTCGCACATATCAATGTGATCATAAGGCATGCACGTGAAATGCATTTTTCTGCTGACATCACTTGCTCTGACCATCTACGCGGCTGATGGCCTCTGTGGTTGGCGTGTCCACAGAATTACCGCCGGCTGCAGCAGGATTTCCTGGACGATGACCACGAGCGAAATCTGTCCGTGACCAGCCTCTCGGTGCAGGTGTTCACTGTCCCCACGCTGGTGAGAGCGAGCGAGCGATGCCCCGTAGCCTTGTGCACTGCGCCCTGGGCTCTTCCAGGTATATAGCTCTTTTACAGAAGTGACCTGGCCATGACAAATGAAAGCTCAATGAAGTGGCTTGTAACGTGGAAATTTACAGCAGACAAATACTCTAAATGCACATTGATTCTAAATGTGGAGGGATAAACCAGAAGACCAGAAGAAAAATCCACGCAGCAATGTGAAGAGAGACCCGCAAACTCGAAATATACAGGCGTCAGAGTCGGGATTGAACCCTCGAGCTTCTGCATACCAGGCGAGGTAGTTAACATCTCCCCACCGCGGCACTCCCGTGCACTCATCAATACATTCGCCTCTCTCTCTACCCGAGCTGCGACCTTAGACTCAGCCGCATCGTCAGGGATTCGTCGGTGCGTTTGGTATTCGCGCCATTCTTACGGCCTGAGGCTGTCACAAAGACGCTGCGTTTTGCGGATGAACAGATCCGGAAGAGGCAGTGCGGTTTAACGGAACAGAATAATCCCACGCCGCCTCTGTATCTGCACCTCCGATTAACACGGTTGACTACGCACGGTGCGAAAGAAGTTCAACAACTTATAGCAACATATTTCAACAAAGTCGCGTGAAATTCCTTTGACTTTTGCCGTGGCTACGTCCTTGCCGGCAGGCACGGTATCTGGTGATGGAGGAGGACGCCCTGTCCATCCTCGTGAAGACCATGCGGGAGCAGCTGCAGGAGCTGATGGGCGGCAACGGGGCGCTGCACCCGGACCGCACCGACTCGGTGCAGCTCCGCCGTGCGCTGCACACTTTCGGCGACCTCAAGTACGCGTGCTGTCGGTGCTCCCGCTCACTTCCGCTCACTCCTGCTCGATGTCCCAAACACTCCCTATGTTGGCCACTTACTCCCCCCCCCCCCCCCCCCGTGTTGCTGGTTTGCCGTCTTCCCTTCCTGCTTGCTTAGTCCCTCACCTGTCAACTTGGTTTGCTTTGCCGCTTGCTCTCCATCTTCCGTCTCTCCCACTCACTAACTTGCTCTCTGCTTGCTGTGCTGTTCTATTGCTTTCTCACGGTCTCCCTCAAATCCAGTGCTTGCTCTTAACTACTTTGAAGACAAAGATCACCCGTATAGCCTGAACCAACTGTTGGGGCAAATGCTGTTAGCGAACACATATGAAGGCCGACACGGCACACGAGAGGAGTAGATGGCCAGCACCACGCCCGCCCGTCTTTGTCTCCCCAGTGGCGATTTTTACACACCGCATTAGGCATTCATTTGAGGCCGAGTCGACCTAGGGGAGGCCCAGGACCGGTTCAGATAATCGACCTGATGTTGGCCATGTGCGGGAATCGAACTCGGGTTGTGCGCTAACCGCTAAACTACCGCTCCCCACTTTTAGCGGCTTTACTCGCTATCCCACTCTCACTCACTTAAATGCTGTCTTCATCCCTCAATCTGTCTCCCAATTGCTCACCCACGTGCTCTCCTGCTTGCTCTCCCACTAAACCTCTCCCGAGCTCTCCTCCTCTCTCACTCTTTATCCCCACTCTTTCTAAGAGCCAAGAAGAACAATCGCGATCTGAGATTTCTTCAACTCGCATCCTACTGATTGAGCCCTGACTTCTCTAATCCCACGGCGATCCCTGGACGGATACCCACAGTTCCCTCTGATCTCTCAAGTCTTCCCTGCCCCCCCCCCCCGCTCCTTTTCAACCAGGTTTATCCTGATCGCTCGGCCTAGCGAATGGAGCGATGCCCTGAGGATCAAATTCCTTGCCGGCTTTCAAGAGTTCATGACCTTCCTGCAAGTCCTGCAGGTGCGAGGGAGTGCGGTGCTCAGAGAGACGTCACCTGCAGTGGGGACGAATGCTCTGCGTGATGATTCCTCTTTAATTAATTCAACTTCTTTAATTAAGTATTTCCTCTTCTTTAACTCTGCGTTCCGCAGCTACAGCGTTCGTCCTCGTGCGTTTTGTATCCATGGAATATTTGTTTTGTTTTTTCTCCCAGTTTTCCCGTTAAGTATTATTTCTCTCGGTTGCTGCGGGCGAATGATATTATTTCTCGATGTCTGATGGTGTACTCAGAGGTTAAATCTGTTGTCAGGGGTGGGGAACCTTGTTTCTGCCAAGGGCCATTTGGATATGTATAACATCATTCGCGGGCCATACAAAATTATCAACTTAAAAATTTGCCGTTTTATTTGTTCAAACATTTAATTAACTCACCCCTCATGTGATGGCTGGAACTGCTTCTCTTTGGTGAGGCGTGTGATGTTAGCTGGTATTGATGATGTTGCTACTCGCAACTGCTTTTCCAGGTTTGCTCCTAGATTTATTGAATTTCGAGTCCCGCCTGCGGTTGCCTTGGCAGGGCCACACCAAATGATTTTGCGGGCCTTATACCGCCCGCGGGCCGGACGTTTTCCACCCCTGGTCTAGACCCTTGATTGACAGACCAGTCTGATATTAATAACAATAATGATAGATTAAAATTACCCCACGATTAACAATGCCAGATGTGTTCTGTGCATACACACGACTGCAAACACAGTCGTTTAATGTTTAGTTGAGACAGTAATATTTTGCCAGACCGGTCTCTGATGGGGTGTGTGCACATATAATTTGTGAAACAATAAATAAAAATGCAACACAAGTTTGAAGTTTCGGTCGTGAGAAAATGATTCAATGTTCTCGTCGAGTTGGCGACTAAACTGATATGACATGCAGCGAATGACGAGCGAACTTTGGGAGAGCATTTATTTATTGTATTCCTACTTGTTGACATATTTTTAAGGGTTCGCTCTGGGCGGGACGCAGTATATCCGAAGGCGCGTGGTAGTTTTATTGTTGGGGTTGCGCCTTCCTGTGACGGTTCACTCTGGACTTAACCCGGGCAACGAACTGCTTCAGGGCATCGAGGCGGTGACGCGGCAGCTGAGTCAGCACGTGGAGATGGACCCCGAATGGGACGTGGCCTACAGCCTGGAGCTCGCCGTCACGCATGCCATCACCATGATGCAGGGCTGGTGCGCGTCCAACGTGAGCAACGCGTGCGCATGCACACACACGCGCAAGCTGCCAAGCCGGCGATTAAAGGCGGCCTATGTTGTGTTGAGACTCGGTGTACTGCTTCCTCTGCGCGCCCTACCGTTTTTGTTATCGCAGATTAAATTTCGCTCTCGAGGATCAAGGTGTGTTTCACCGCGATACGGAATCCGTCCGTGTGCACGACCCTCCTCGTTGTTGTTTCCTGCCGGCCGTGCAGGCGGCAGTGCTGGTGGAGTCCTACGCGCTGTGCGTGCGCGCGCTGCAGTCGTCCGGCGTGGTGCCCCGCAACGCCGCCGCCACACCCGTCAGGCTGGCGCTGTGCGGCCACTCCCTGCTCTCCATGCCCTATCTGGTCTCTCGCCAGCCCGTGAGCACCCACCTGCCCATGACTCGCTTCCTCGCAGGTGAGAGCCCCCTTAGCGGACGTCGTCGTCGTCATCATCGTTTCAGTGTCTCTTGTTCACAAAAGCAATCTTGTAGACATTTTCCACTGACGCATCGAACCCATGTACCTCGCGTAACACTCCCTCGCTCACTCGCTCGATCATGCACTCTCTGGCTTGCTCACCCTCACTCGTTTGGTCACTCGTTTCCTTTTGCCATCGGCAAATCCAAGCCGAGCCCGCTTGAGGCCCTCAAGGTACCTGTGGATTTCCACTGGCTGACTCTCGTGCCAAGCCGGAACCAAACAGTGAATTGCTGGCAGCGCCAAGATATCTGGATCTTGCTCGGGGCCAAGCAGGGCCAGGGGTAGCACTGACGAAGCGTTCATTGCACCACGTGACGTCGGTCGTTTGAAGTTGGAACGCAACGTTGCTGCGTTGCCTACACGGGTCTCAACTCACCACCGTGCTTGTGCCACATCAGCCCATCAAGGGTGATGATGGGATTGTGCAAATCGCATATAAATCCACCAACAACCTCACAGAAGATGCACCTCACTTCGCAAGCGTGTTAGTGAACTGAGATGCATGTGATGAGTTTCCCTGTATCTGTTGTACACGCAGGCCTCTATGCGATGGTGAGCCACACTGGGGTCATGTCTTCTTACCCAGAGATGAATCTGCTGGTAAATATCACCACTAATAGCACGACAACACCATCACCACCACAAACAGCACCAATATCGCTAACTTAACACCAATGCCACAAACGCAACACCAACAGCAACTGCCATTCGCCACTAAGTGGCGATGACGTAAAAACGGCGTATGTGCCAGACTCGGTGCACTTTGAGGCCACGTGAAGTGCCGAAGTCCTGCTGGCAGGAGGCCATGGGTTAAAAAAAATACTTGTTATGACTGGCAGATGTATAAACTCTCATCTCTATGCTTGTAAAACATTGTCCCCTTACAAGAACACCTTGTTGCTGGCTTTAAGCTTTCAGGCTGGTCTGTCTACAATGCATCCTGGGATTAATCAGCATGGATTGCATAAGGAGCTCAGAGATGCTTTAAATTAAATATTTGGATGTCGTCCTTTGAGCGGGCTTTGCCATCAGGTGAGGATACAATGGCTGGTCATAAAGTCCTCGTGAGGCTCCACAGCGGAGGCTGGATAGGTGCAGCATGGGCTGGCGAAGAGATAGGCTGATGGGATACAGAAGGATTTGGTACTGAGTGGACTTGGCCTTGGTGAAGGGTGCTGTATGTGACTGTGCCATTTGTGTCTGTGTGTGGGGAGCGGTAGTGTAGCTGTTAGCACACTCTGCAACGAACCCGGCAACCCGAGTTCAATTTCCGATCACGGCCAACATCAGTGACGATTATTTGAACCAGTCCTGGGCCTCTCTCCTAGATCGACGCAGCCTCAAATGAGTACCTGGTGCGGTGTGTAAACATCGCCACCAGGGAGACAAAGTCGGCCGGGCTTGGTGCTGGCCACCCACCCCCTCGTTTGCCATGCTGGCCTTCATAGATACTCACGAACAGCACTTGCCCCAACAGTCTGTTAAGGCTACACGGGGCATCTTTGTCTCTGTGTAGGGGGGGGTGGTATCATTGTGGTTATTGCATTGTGCTTTGAACCCGACGACCTGAGTTCGATTTCCACTCGCAGCCAACATTGGTGACGAACATTTAAACTGGTTGTGGGTCTCTTTCCTAGGCTGGCTGAGCCTTAAATGAGCAGCTGGTGCGGTGTTTAAACATTAGGATTTAGAAGACAAAAGGTGGCCGGGCGTGGTGCTGGCCATCCACCCCCTCATGCACCATGCCAGCCGTAATCAGCACTTGCTCTATCAGCACTTTAAAAGGTTATATGGGGGATCTTTGTGTGCGTGCGTGCGTTTGTGTATTTGCGCCTTTGTCTTTTGTGTGCGGCTGTGCTTCTCTGTGTGTGCGTGTGCACATGGGTCTGTGTTTGTGTGTTACAGGAAAGCGTGGAGCCACAGGACATGGCCGAATTGCCCCTCAGGTGCCTGGTGCTGTTGGCGCAGGTGAACGCCGGCATGTGGCGGCGTAACGGCTTCTCCCTCGCCAACCAGGTAGCCACAGCAACAACCAGTAATAGCAACAACCAGGCAGGTAGCCATGGCAACAGGGTAACCATGGATACCATGTTATCTGGAACAGGGACTCTCTTTAAAAAGAGTATCAAGGTGGAATTATGCTTTTATTGATACATTAATAGTTGACTGTCAGAAAAGTTTGTCTGATGATAGAAACATAAAAATCGGCTTTAATTACTGAACAAGAAAATTAATCTTCGTTCAAATCTTTTAAGTTGGTTAATTCCACGCAACTGTTGAAAGCTTAAATGCATTATCTCTGTCAGTCATTCTCTCTGTTTGTAACAGGTGGTCATGATGCTTCTTAAAAAGACAATCCGATGTAAATACAACATTTTAGTGTAAAGTTGAGCTACGATTACGAACTTCCCAACAGGAAACCGCACTAATTGCTAATGTTAAAAACGTAACAATAAACAACAAGTGCTCATTAGATTAGCCTATTTGGTCATGTCTATACATTATTATCATTAATAAATAACTTCCGAAGACAAACGCATTTTGAAAAACCTTGTAAAAACACTGAATATGCATGAATGTTCTACCTTGTTAACACAAAGTACAAAGGTCAGGTAACCAATTCAATTCATTTCAACAGGTGTCTTGGTTTAATTTAGAAACCATGTAGTTCCATATTCAGTTATTTCTAAATATGTGTGCTCCTAAATGCATATTTTATGCTTTTTTTATACGAATGGATATTTGCTCTAACGAGAGTAAAGTATGTGGAACATCGTCCTGTCACATGCTGGTATCATGTGGTGTGAGCTTGGATGAGTTTGTGTCGGATTGCCCGGTTGTGATGGCCGGTCGCTTTGCCCCCAGATGTACCACTACCACAGCGCCATGTGCCGCCAGGAGATGTTCGACAAGGATGTCCTCATGCTGCAGGTAGAGCACCCTTCATCTTGTTGTCCTTCCCCCGCACCTCAATTTACCGTGGTTGGCTACGTGCGTTGCAAAAGAAGTTCAACTTGCGTCCACACGTACACACGACGTCATTGTCGTCATCGGTGTGGGCCCGTGTGCCGTGCTGCGACAAAGGCACCTTCGTCAGATTTCGCAGGCGAAGCAGACTTGAGCCTGGACAGTGTGTGGATGGGTCACCATTGGGCACACGAAAGGTTGTTGTCAACTGTTGCAGGGGCTACGTTGTGAACAATAAAAGGCAGTGCGGCAACATTTAATGTTGTTAACATGTATTCATTGCTCGGTAGCGATTGGTGATGTTCATTGATCAGTAGTGGTCGTTGTTAATAAATCAATAATGATGACAATGTCGGTTGAGCAGTGGTAGAATGACGGTGGCGCAGAGATCAGCAGTGTTTGGTGCCCATTGACGATGGTTGATCAGTGAGTGTCGCTCATCGCTGTCTCAGATCGCCGCGTCTCGGATGGACCCGGATGAATTCCTCCTGCTCCTCCTGTGCCGCTTTGAGCTCATCAACGTCTTCAAGACAGCCACGCGGCACAGCGGACACCGTGCCGACACCACCAGCAAGGTGACGCGACCTCGTGCTGTGTGCACGATCATCTACGACCAGGGCTCCACTTGCAACTGAATATTTTCTAGGTAACTGGTAGACCTGGAGGTGACACGTGACTAGTAGCCACAGCCATATACTGGATGTGATGTGCCAGGTGTGGAAATAGTCCCTGCCTACTACCAAACGAAAGCTCAGTAGGGATGAGCTGTTGAGCGCTGTGATGGAAGACTACCTGAGCATACCTGGTGTGTAGGTCCAGCAATGGATTCTTGCATCTTTATTTGCCGGAAACTTTGAGTGCTATCCCCTCTTATGGATGGGTTTTTTTTCCAGTTACTCCAGTTTCCTCCCGACGTGAAAACCAAATGCTCAGTAAGAGAATTGGCCAAACATCCCGATGCAGGATCTTCCTGGGAAGAGCTTCGAGACTCGTTCTTTTCTGGGTAAAACACGTTAATTGCCGTACCACTCCTCTCAGTTGATTTGACAGTGGAGCCTTTGTAGTTGTATCCTATGATCTGTGTTTAGGACCAATGAACATTTACATGCTAACAATAATAGTAAACTGATTACACGCCTAATGGGATTCCTGGTACCAGGTGTCTTTTTAACCCTTAACCCGGTCCGAGACAACTGCAAGTTGCAAGGTGGGTGTCCCCGGTCACCGCTGAATCTGGAAACATGCAAGCGGTTAGCGTTAATTTTATTTAGAGAGGTGGCATAGCGCCGTTGTTTTTAAAGACATTGTCCTCACTGCAGCGAGCTGTAGCCACACGACCGCACTCTATGATAGCTGGCGCCAAACTTTGCTATACTCCCTCCCGCATGGCCTTGTGGGAGTTTCGGTCCGTCTTCAGGTCGGAAAGCGTACAGATAAAGTCTTTTTTAATTTTAGTCTTTCTTCCGATTCTGTTTGGATGATGTACATACACGTGATCGGAATGGGAAAGGTTTAATCTGACGGATGATTGCACAGACACTGATTGTATTACACGTGCCCGCACAGCCGCGTGTTTACACAGTTTGATTTTTCCTACAGGACCAGCTCCAGCAGAACAGCTTCCTGCTCGAAGAACTTCTTCAGCTCATCATATGGATCTTGGGTGAGCACACGTACACAGAATCACACTTACACATACGGCTATGAGATCACCCTCATAGCCTTAATAGATTTTAGGGGCAAGTGCTGGTAGCGAGCACCTATGAAGGTAACCACAGCAGACAAGGGGGTGGGGGGCCAGTACCACGCCCAACTGCCTTTGTCTCCCAAGTGGCGATGTTTACACACTGCACCAGGTACTCATTTGAGGCTGAGCCGATCTATGAGAGGCCCAAGACCGGTTCAGATTATCGTCAGTGGCGTTGTCCGTGAGTGAGAATCGAACTTGGGTCGTTAGGTTTGTTGCGCAGCGCCCTAACTATTGCGCCACCGCTCCCCACAATGGGTTAACTGAATTGCGACATTTACACATTTAATCCCAGGCACGCGCGCAAACACAGCTATACTAGCGGCGTTCACGGCACACAAAACGTTCTATCCGTTTTGAGTCCTCGCGGCCGTTTGTGCCTCCACACCACCCCTCTCCCGTGCGCGCCCCCAACCCAGCGGAGCGCTTTGTACCGGGCGTGAGCGCCGTGACGGCGCAGCAGGTGACGCGGCACGAGGTGGTGCACCAGCTCGCCATCAAGCCCATGACGCACAGCGAGCTGAGCAAGGCGCTGCCCGAGAACGTACGCGTCGCACGCACGCGACACGTCTCGCCCGCCGCATGCTGCAGCACAGCAACAACAACCGCCATTCACCACTAAGTGGCGGGGACTTCACCACGGCGTTTGTGCCAGGCTATGTGCACTTTAAGACCACGTTATGTGTCGAACGCCCTCTGGCAGGAGGTCACGGGACAGACCCAGGTGCTATGGGTTGACTAACTGAGACGACTGGCAGATGCAGCGCAGCAGACGCACCGCCACACACACCGCCACACACACCGCCACACGCACCGCCACACGCACAAACACACAAAGCCAGCCCCACCCCACGTCATCTTAGCCTCATAGACTTGCTTGATCTTGTCAAGGAGCATAAACCATCACGTGAACTCCACTCATCCTTGCAGTGGCAGCTTTTGGCTAACCGTTAAACAAAGACGGTCACTGCGTCTCGCGCTTTCAGGTGCGCTTCTGCGGCCGTCTTTAATGCTCTTCCTTCCGATATCAGGAAGCCACTGGAGCCATGCTCTTTTAAATCATCTAGATTGTAAACTAATTTCTTTAGAACTGCCTCTTGTGTTTAGTTTGTTGTCCTTCCCCCACACCTCCGATTTTCACGGTTGGCTACGTAAGGTGCGAAAGAAGTTCAACATTCATAATTACGTCTCTTTTCTCCTCGTCTCTCTGCCTCGAAGACTCCCTGTCCCATGTCTCGTTGTCTTCTTCTTCTTCGGCAGGAAAACGACGAGACTGGCATGGAGGCTATCATCGATGACGTCGCTGTCTTCAGGTTGGTTTGGTTGCTGCCGTTAATCCACTCTTGAGAGTTTTGCTCTCGCCGTCCCCTGGTATGGTGGTCAACAGCCACGAGTTGACCATTGCCGTACACGATTGCATGCACTCTGTCTAAATAATATGTCAAATAAATGCAATGCCGTTCCACATTCACGCAGCATCGTGGTCAAAGGTATTCCCTCTGCACATTCGCAGCATCACTTCAATCGCCTCCTTCAAGAGACACTTAAAAACTCACCTCTACAATCATGCTTTTGAGCGACTCTGAGCTTGGCTCCGCGCCTCTGAGTTGCGGCCACTACGTCTGCAAATTTGCGCGCGTTACAAATTGTACTATTATTATTATTATCTATTCTTGAGACGTAAACACAATAGTCTGAGACACGTCTGCAAATAGTTCTTAGGCACGAGCTCAGCTCATCGCTCCGTTTCCGTGGCGGTACGTGAGACCGCATGGCATGGGAAGCCCTTCATCCAGCAGCAGATAGACCATTGCTGCCGATCATTACTTAGTGAATGCCTTGAAGAGCAACATGAAAACAGTTCGTATCTCTCCGAATTGGCAACGGAAGACAGCTATTCGCTCTGAACGCATTCAGCGCCAGTTGGCTGTGCGCAGCGGTTAATCACGGGCGCTGAGCGTACACTACACTACTACACTCTTTATTTGACCAGGTAAGGCCCACTGAGCTGTTAAAGCTCTTTCTCAGAAGTGACCTGGCCACAAAAGGTAGCTCAACGAAGAGGCTTATATTTCGATTTAAAGCTTTCGTGACTACAGGGATTCATCTTCTTGGTTCTTTCGGTAAAGTCACGTAGAAGGGAAATGGTTCTTTCGGTAAAGTCACGTAAAGTCACGTGACTTTATCGAAAGAACCAAGAAGATGAATCCCTGCAGTCATGAAAGCTTTAAATCGAAATATAAGCCTCTTCGTTGAGCTATCTTTTGCCGTGGGATTTACGAATAATATTATTTCCCTTCTACGTGACTTTACCGAAAGAACCAAGAAGAAGAGGCTTATGTAGAAATTGATAGCGGCCAAATACTCGAAACACACGGCGATTCTAAAAGTAGAGGGAAAAACCGGAGGACCCGGACGTAAAATCCACGTGACCATGGGGGAGAACACGCAAACTCCAAATATACAGCAGGTTCATCTTCTTGGTTCTTTCGGTATAGTCACGTAGAAGGGAAATAATAAAATAATTAAAATTTAACATAAAATTCTCACGACGTTTCGGCCACAACACAAGCAGCCGTCCTCAGGTGTTTTATTTTTATTATTATTTCCCTTCTACGTGACTTTACCGAAAGAACCAAGAAGATTAATCCCTGCAGTCCCGAAAGCTTTAAATTGAAATATACAGCAGGTGTCGGGGTCAGGATCGAACCCACAACCTCCTGCATACCAGGCGATTGAGTTAACATCACGCCACCGTCGCGCCCCCCCCCCCCCCCCGCCCACCTCTGTGCTGGGGGTGGTGGCGCCGCTGTCCGCAGGAAACCGGGCCTCACCGGCCGTGGGGTTTACGAGCTGCGGCCCGAGTGCACGGCCGAGTACAACCCCTTCTTCTACCACTACCGGCGATCGGAGCAGTCCAAGGTACGAACGCGCGTGTCGTACTGTGGCCACGGAGTTGATGATTACCGTCCGCCAGCGGTTTAATGAATCGTCACGACCATCGGCGGGTCATGATGAATATCATGCTTGTGCATGCAAGAAATCCTCACCGAGTCTCATGTGTGTCAATAAACCCATATATTTAAGTGTATAGAGCTGGAATAAATGATATTAAGTGAGTATTTTAGGATGTTTCATGAAAAAGCTTCTCTATTTAACAAGGCACAAAGGTGTGCATTGCATGTACAAACGCTCTCAGCCTTGCGCCTTATGCAAATCACCAGTTTTGTCCTTATTACGGCTCATTACTAGGGTACAATCATCAGTGTTCCGATATTGGTTTCTGTTGGGGAACGTCTGTTGATGGGAAGTTGAACTGTTGACTCGGATTACAGCTCCGAGCAAATGCCAGTCGCGGGATTGGCTCGTAGCATCCCAGTGATGCAAGCAGCCGACTCGCTATCAGAATGAGAATATTTATACTGAAGGAATCCTATGAGCTATAAAGCTCTTGGTAGCTCATCGCATTACTCCAGTGTCTCAAGATTCTGATTTTGCTTCTGACAATTGGTTACCCAGTGGGATGGCTGTGCGAGTTAATATCCTGGTTTCGGGGGTAGACCATCGTCTCTCCGGGCTCGATCAAACGAGCACCACCTTTTTGGGGAGTTCAGCAGTGGTTGTCCCGGGGAGAGAGAACATTCTGCGGTTTGAAACTTAACGTTATCATCGCCGATAAAGCACTTCCTTGGACAAAAACGCATGTCTGTAGGTGGCACAGAATCTACGACTGTGCTTTGATTTCTCTTATTCTTAGGTTTTTTCGGTAAAGTTACGTAGGTAAAAATTAAAATTAATAAAAGTAAAATAAAAATCACGACGTTTCGGAGGCAACACAAGCTTCCGTCTTCAGGTGGAACCGTCACAGCACGATTGCTGTATTAAGCAACGGTTACACCTGAAGACGGAAGCTTATGTTGCCTCTGAAATGTCGTAATTTTTATTTTACTTTTATTAATTGTAATTTTTACCTACGGGACTTTACCGAAAAAACCTAAGAATATGAATCCTTGCAGTCACGAAAGCTTCAAATCTAGAATTGATTTCTCTTCCTTGTTGAAGCTCTGAACGTCTCTGTAACACTCCTTGCCAACGTGATTAGCGCGCACGCGTGCGTGTGTTAGAACTGGAGCGGTGCGTGTGGGTGTCGGCACGCACGCCTAACTCGTGCGGCTGCTTGTATGTGCGCGTGTTTAATCTGCTTGTGCGCATCGCTCGGTACAAGGCGAAGTTGGAAACAAATAGCAGCTTGTTTTTTGGTTGAGTCTGTGTAGTTTATGTGCATATTATATTATTGCCAGCAACGGCCGACTACTCGACCATAATATAAACCTGACGACGATAATGATGATGAATGTGATTTTTAGGCAGAGGAGGCTCAGAAGAAGTTGAAGAAGCTGAAAGGAGAGGATGGCGGTAAGTGTTGAATCACCAGCTCGGAAAAATCGGTCAAATACACACACACAAACAATCCAGCGCATCAATAGCATTCCGATTGTGCACTCAGTTTAAAGGGAATCAACAAAGGAATTTAATTCCTCGTGTAAATGCCATATTTACCAGGCATTTAGACTTGTGTTTGTGCGCAGCACTATGAACCCAGCGACCCGAGTTCGATTCCCACTCACAGCCAGCACCAGTGACGATTATCTGAACCAGTCCTGGGTCCCCTCTAGGTCGACTCAGCCTCAATAGAGGACCTGGTACGGTGTATAAACATCGCCACTGGGTCACCCACACCCTCGTGTACCGTGCCGGCCTTCTTAGGTGCTCACGAACAGCACTTGCCCCAAAAGTCTGTTAAGGCTATGTGGGTGATCTTTGTGTAGAGAAGTTACCGACGGACGTACTCGGAGACGGAGGTAAGTTAGGGGCTTCCGCCAGGGTTTATTACTCTTGGTCAAAACTACACAGGGTACACAACTCCCAGGGGCTAGGGGTCCTACTCTGAGTCTGGGTCCCTGCCGGCTAGCTCCGGTCTCTCTCTCGTGTCGGATCGTGGAGTCTGCCGACTCCACCGACCGGAGAGAGAAGCACCTCTTCGGCTACCACCGGCTTCTCCCCAGACTCCCTATTTGATCCCTCTCACTATCCCTGGTTCCCTCTTCACCCTGTTTACTATCCCCGTTCCTATAGTGACCCCGCTTACGTTACGGGGTCTCCCTTATATACCCTCGGAGGGGTGATGTCGCACATTGTAGCAGCAGTGCAGACACTCTGACACCAGTTGTAGAGAAGTTACCGACGGACGTACTCGGAGACGGAGGTAAGTTAGGGGCTTCCGCCAGGGTTTATTACTCTTGGTCAAAACTACACAGGGTACACAACTCCCAGGGGCTAGGGGTCCTACTCTGAGTCTGGGTCCCTGCCGGCTAGCTCCGGTCTCTCTCTCGTGTCGGATCGTGGAGTCTGCCGACTCCACCGACCGGAGAGAGAAGCACCTCTTCGGCTACCACCGGCTTCTCCCCAGACTCCCTATTTGATCCCTCTCACTATCCCTGGTTCCCTCTTCACCCTGTTTACTATCCCCGTTCCTATAGTGACCCCGCTTACGTTACGGGGTCTCCCTTATATACCCTCGGAGGGGTGATGTCGCGTGCACTGCCCAGCGCGTGCGACCCCACGTCCCGTGAGGTCACCGCACCTGACAGCGCACACGACGCCACCACTCTCCACTACTCCTCTACATCTGTATTGTTTTGGGTGTGTAAACATCAGCGCATAAGACAAAGGTGGCCGGGCGTGGTGCCGGTCACAACACCTTCTGATACGGATGATCATTGTTGTTGCATGTGTGCATCCACATTACCTTCATGTGAGTGCATGCGTATAGTAATGTGTGTGTCTGCTTGTATCCATTGATGAGTTGTGGGCCTCCCTGAAGTCGACTGAAGTATCTGGTTTGATGGATAAACATCGCGACTGGAGAGACAAAGGCAGCTGGGCATGATGCTGACCACCCACCCCCTCTGTGCCGTGCCAGCCTTCATTGTTACTCGCGAAGAGCACTTGCCCCAACAATCTGTTAAAGCTATGCAGGATGGGGGCCGGTTTTTCTTTCTGTGTGTGTGTGCATTCATACATGTCCTTGTTTTGTGTGCGCGTACGCGTGCCACAGCGCTGCCTCCGCCCGTGCCGCCCCCACTGTGCCCCATGTTTGAGGGGCTGCTGAGACTCCTGCACTGCGACACGTTCGTTTGCATGCTGGCGTGCGTGCTGCACTGGGCTGCCAAGCCCTCCGGACAGCCGTGCTCCGAGGCTGCCCTGCAGAGGGTACGCACGCTCGCACGCACCACTTGCTCGCCTCCCAAGCGCTGCGCTTGTGTTGGCCAGGTGGCTCGCTGGTGAGAGCGCCAAGCTGGCGCACCGACACAATCACCGATGTCTCGTGAACACATGGCGTGACGTGCCGTGCGGGGCGTCGTGTGCACTTGTGTGTGGTGGGGAGCGGTGTTGGAGCGGTTAGCGCGCTGCACTACGAACCCGGCGACCCGAGTTCGATTCCTGCTCACGGCCAACACCAGTGACGATTATCTGAACCGGTCCTGGGCCTCCCCTAGGTCGACTCAGCCTTAATTGAGTACCTGGTACGGTGTCTAAACATCAGCACTCGGGAAAAAAAGGTGGTCAGGCGTGGTGCTGGCCACCCACCCCCTCGTGTGCCGTGCCGGCCTTCAAAGGTGGTGGTCGCTAACAAAACACTTGCCCCAACAGTCTCTTAAGGCTATCCGGGGGGGGGGGGGTGGTCTTTGTATTTTGTTTGTGCGTTTGCGTAGGCGCTGCACCTGATGGGGCTGGCGCTAATGGAGGAGCAGAAGCAGCTGCAGCAAGCGGGCGAGGGGCACGAGGCTGACGTCTCCTTCTGCTTCCTGCGCAAGGCAACGCGTACGTGTGCCGCCTCCTCCTTACGGCCACCGTCACAGAGCCTGGCCTGGGTATCTCCTAGGTTGACTTAGCCCGAAAACTAGCGCCGGGTAGCGGCGACGACTTGGCTAAAAATGCCAGCACTGGAGCAACAAAAGGTAGCTGTGTGTGGCGGCATGGCACCCGAGCCACGCCACATCACGCAGTTGAAGTGCCACCTCTGACAGGCCAGCAGTTGTCCTATGGGATGAACTGGGTACCAAACGGAGGGATGTGAAATGGTTACTAGAAGATGAGCACTGCTGCACGCCTCTTTGATCAGGAAAGTTTTCATTCTGATAATACCGACCCTGGCAGTCAATTATAAGTGCACGTTGAGCCACATACCAAAGTATTTGTGGCGTCACGGTGGCGAGATGGTAAATTCCTCGCCTGGTATGCAGGAGGTTTTGGGTTCGATGCCGACCTTGACGCTGTATATTTGGAGTTTGTGTGTCTCTCTCTCCGTGGTCGTGTAGATTTTTCCCCGGGTCCTCTGGTTTTTCCCTCCATATTTATAAACATGCATTTAGACTATTTGGCCACTATAAATTTCCACGTGATTAGCGACTTCTTTGAGCTATCATTTGTGATAGCCAGGTAACTTCTGAAAAAGAGCTATATAGCACCTCAGTGGGCCTTACCTGGTAAAATAAAAAAATATTATTAGTTTAGGATTGACGCTCGGGATGTGGTTTATCACGTCAACAGAACATGCAAATTCGTTACTAGTACAGCACACCGGTGTGTTGAAGAGCAAATCCACAACATTTACAATGTGAGTACGACGCTTTGCCAGTAATTAGAACGAGCATCATCAGGCGGACAGCCTCATTTGTAGCCACAAATCTGGCTATGAAGGGCCGGCACGGCACACGAGCGGGTGGGTGTCCAGCACCGTGTCCGGCCGCCTTTTTCTCCCCAGTGGCGATGTTTACACACCACACCAAGTACTCATTTGAGGCTGAGTCTACCTAGGGGAGGCCCAGGACCGGTTCAAATAATCGTCACTGATGTTGACCGTGAGCGGGAATCGAACGACACTACCGTTCCCCACACACACACGTACGTACGTTCCGCTCCGCGTCGTGCGAGCAGGCTCCGGGAGCCCCCCTGACAGCGCGCACTCCCTCCTGGCCCAGCTGCAGGCCCTCCAGGCCGCCTCCCACCTGGAGAATGAGAAGGACACGATCGCGTGGACGTTGAAGGTGACTTCAAATAGCTCTTCTTGGAGAGCCGATGGGATAGTTATTTTTCCCTTCCTCTATAATGTTTGTGTCCGCCCAACAGCGGTGGAAATTCCACGTTCTTGTGAAGGGGGCCGGTCACTCCGTGGCATGATCATTGTTGCCATTTTGCACAAAATGCTTCTCATTTTATTCATCCTAATGTTGCTTTTTGGGATTAAAGTCGATCGCTGACCAGGAGTTGAACTCACGAGCTTCCTCTTGTCAGTTAAGAGCTCTGGTCTGAACACAGCCAGCTGGCTGGATCGCCCCAAAACTTAGAATTACTTTTAAGATTTTGGGCTAGGGATAAGTTTAGTGCTAAAATTAGGATAAGTGTTAGAATTAGCATTATTAAGCTAAGTGTTTGTGCTATGCTTAAAGTTAATGCTATAGATAAAGTTAGTTCCAGGGTTATAATTAGTTATCTGTTAATACTATTATTAGAATTAGTGCTAGTGTTGGGGTTAGTGCTTTTGTTATGGTTAGAGTTAAGGTTGGTGCCAGTGTTATGGTTTGTGATACGGTCATGGTTACTGCTATGGGTAGGATTAGTTGCTATTGTCTTGGTTCATGCTTTGCTTGTGGTTAGCTCTAGAGCTAAGGGATGGGGGTTGGTGCCGTGTGTTCGTGCCGTGTGTTCAGTTGAACGTGTGCCCTGTTCACTTGCAGCTCTTCGCGACCGTGCGGATGCTTCGGGAGAGAACTTCCCAGACCCCCGGCTCCTCCATGGATGAACAAACGCACAAAGAGGTGAGAATAGCAATGATTTGTCTCTGGGCTGACCTGGTGATCAGCTTGCTGTGTCAGGTGGTGGCGGGTTTAACGACACATTTATATTCACACAATATAACCCAAAATCCTCTATTATGGAGAAGTGGCTTGTCACGTGTACATTTATAGGAGCCAAATAATCGAAATAAAATCTTAATTTTAAAGATTTCATGACTGCAGGGATTCATACTCTTGGGTCTTTCGGTCAAATCACGTAAATAAAAAATAATAGATCACGACGTTTCGATCGCAACACAAGCAATCCTCTTCAGGTGAGAGAGAGATAAAGCTGCTGAGACAAGGTCTTATATAGGCCTGAGATGGGTGCATCAAGGTAGGTGGGTGGAGCTAGAGATGGTCCAACCACAGAGGCTGGGGCAGTGAATACCCAGCCTGTCAATACAAAGACATCCAACCTAGTAATGAAACTCAGAGTCGGTTAACATCGGTAGAAAGGATGGAAACATCATAGCAAGTTAAGACTTTACCTGGTTAATTACGTCCTTCTAATGATTGCTCAATTTGTACCCATCTTCTCGGTTGAAGTTGTGTCTGTTTATATATCTGGATGGCTTCATGAACAAATCTTTGATGATAGCCAGTGGGTTTGCAGAGTACCTTCGTCTTGGAAAAATCAATATCGTGTGAGCCCACAGCGTTAAAACAATGATCAGGTACGGCCGAGGTATTGGTCCTGCCGTGTTTCAGATCCGCCTTGTGTTCACGAACACGGTCCGAGACATGTCGCTTAGTTTCCCCAATGTAACTACTGCCACAGACACAACTTAGTTTGTAGACACCGGGGTATTGGATGTCAGGGATCACATCCTTCACAGATGGGATCGGATCACGAATTTTATGTACTGTGTTGAATCGAACCTGGATCTTGTGTTTGTTCATGATTTTGGAAATCGTTTTTGGTGACCCCTGCTATGTATGGCAAGGTGTTGGTTTTGATTCGGTCCTCAGATGTTTTTTCCCCACGGTTGAGGTGACAGCTTTGTGGATTGTACGGTCAGAATATCCATTCATCTTGAGGGCTTGATGTACGTGCTCCAGTTCACTGGCTAGGTGGTGCTGGTCGGAGATGCAATGGGCCCTATGGTGTAGGGTTTTGATGAGGGAATTCTTCTGGGCTGGATGGTGGTGGGAGTCAGGTTTTCCTGTAGACAATGTCCCAATGAGCCATCTGGTCTCTTTTCGATTAAAACATCTAAGAATGGTAACTTGTCATCCTTTTCCACTTCCATGGTGAATTTGATGGCTGGGTGTATGGAATTTTTGTGGTTTAAGAATTGGTTCAGTGCTAGCGGGCCATGTGGCCAGATGATGAACGTGTCATCTACGTATCTCTTCCACAAGGAAGGATGTAGGGTGGATGCCTGGATGGCATCTGTCTCAAAATATTCCATGAAAACATTGGCTACCACTGGCGATAAGGGAGAACCCATTGGGGTTCCTTCATCTTGTTTGTAGAATGTACCATTCCAGGTGAAGTAAGTGTTGGTAAGACAGTGTCTCACCAGGGTTGGTACTTCAGCATTAAGTGTTTGTTGGACCAAATCTTCAATGATTTAATTGGTGTCAGGCAGACGAACTTTGGTGAAAAGAGAGACCACATCGAAACTAACAAGCAAATCACTTGGAGATAGTGAGGTGTCTTTCATTAGAGAAACCAAATGAGCTGAATTAAGTACAGCTGAGGTGGTCTTGCCAGTGAATGGAAGCAAGGTCTCAGACAGAAATCAGGCCAGTTTGTAAGCGGGTGAGTCAATGGTGGAGACGATAGGACGGAGCGTTGTACCTTCTTTATGGATTTTTGGTAAGACATAAAATCTGGGTGGTCTAGCAGCAGAGGGTTTTAGAGAGAGCTGCTTGGTTGGTTCGATTAAAGATGTCGAATCGGTGATGATATTGTTGGTTTATTTAATCGAAATAAAATTTTTAACTGAAAGCAAGCAACGGTGGCCTGGTGATGAACCTCGGTGGGGGGGGTGTTGGGTATAGACGAAGCCGGTGGCACGTGCAGGCGGCACCGTGCCGTCCTGGGTGATCGCGCGCACTCCACACACGGCGACGGCAGCGTTGTCATTGCGCGTGTCGGGTAGGACGCGGGTGAGCGCGACAAGCAGGAGCGCAAGCGCAAGGCGGAGGCTGCGCGCAAGCGGCGCGAGAAGATCATGGCGCAGATGTCGGCGATGCAGCGCAGTTTCATGGAGGAGAACCGCGCGCTCTTCGAGCAGGCTGGGGGGGCGGCCGCGGCGCAGGGGTCGACGGAAACCGACAGCAGGTGGGTAGTGCACCACCTTGTGTGACGGCTCTTCATCACGGATGGGCCATCGTAGACGGGCCCTTGTCTGAAACATCACCCGGTGTATACTTTGTTCTCTTTAGGGCGATGTTATTGTACGTATGTATATTGAACTTCTTTCGCATTGTACTAATCGGAGGTACGGGGGAAGAACAAACTAAACACAAAAAACTTTTTCAATTTAGACGATTTAAAAGTGCATAGCTCCAGTGGCTTCGTAAGGGAGAGCATTCAAGATGGCCGCAGAAGCATACCTGAAAGCGCGCGATGCAGTGACCGTCTTTGTTCGATGGCCAGTCAAAAGCCGCTGCGAGGATGACCGGAGTTCGCATGATGGTTTATGCTCCTTGACGAGATCAGGCAGTCTATGAGGCTAATATGACCAGAGCCTGTTGAGTTTTTTGTTGTGGCACTTCTGTGACTGCTGGCAACGTGGAGATCACCGGGTGCTTTGCGACGGTGCGGCGATGAACACCCGGGGCTCGTGCGGTGTTTTCGTACGCGGTGGTCAAGTGTCTTCCTCTTCATGGTATTGTTTGGCGAGAGTTGGCTGGCAATATCTCGGTCACCAGCAATGGGGTAAATCGACAAGGCGACGATGCATTTTATGGCTGTTTCAGTAAGATTTTAATGTAGCCCCAAAGTGACACGCAAAGGACAAATGGGGTAAGTTTATACTCTTTGGTTCTTTCAGTAAAGTCAGGTAGGTATAAAATAAATAAAATCACGACGTTTCGGGCGCAACACAAGCATCTGTCATCAGGTGGGACAACCACAGCAATTGTTTTTTGCTGTGGTTGTCCCACCTGATGTACCTACGTGACTTTACTGAAAGAACCAAAGAGTATGGATCCCTGCAGTCACGAAAACTTAAAATCTAGATTGGGGTAAGTTTAATCATTATTAGAGGTGGTGCTCGGAGTTAGGGTCTTGTTTACCAGGTTGGTCTGGAGATTTAATGAGGGTAAAATCCATTTGGATAGTGTGGTCGTGGTTATAGCTAGCGCTGGGTGTCTGGTTGGCCATTGTGAGTTGGTGTCTGGTCAGCTCGTTTGGTTAAGGGCTACGGCTACGGCTGGGGTTTGGTTAAACTGATTGGCTTTTTTTGTTGGGTCCGGTTGTGATTGCTTGAGTGGTGAAGGCATATTATTATTTGGGTCTTTCGGTAAAGTCACGTAGTTAGGTTGAAAGAAAATAACAAAAAACTATGACGTTTCGATCACAACAACAAGCGATCGTCATCAGGAGGAAAAAAAGAGGGTGAAGGCAGTCTACTGGGCATCTGTCAAAACGACCTTTTGAGCTTATCGGATTCCTTCAGTATGAATGAAGATTCTGAGTTGCGTACCTCCCGTCAGTGCATGCCCTCAAGCTGGTGTGTGCGTGTCTTTCTGCATGCCGATCTGTGTGCGTGCTGATCTGTGTGCGTGCGTATCTGTGTGCATGCTTATCTGTGTGCGTATCTGTGTGCGTATCTGTGTGCGTATCTGTGTGCGTGTGTATCTGTGTGCGTGTCTTGCTGCGTGCGTATCTGTGTGCGTGCCGATCTGTGTGCGTGCCGATCTGTGTGCGTGCCGATCTGTGTGCGTGCCGATCTATGTGCGTGCCGCATCTCACACCGGCGCGCGTGGGCCCTCTTCATGCCCTCCTCTCCCTTGCCGGCCGCACTCGCAGCTCGGAGTTCGGCGGCGGAAGCAGCGGCTGCGATGGCGCCACCGCGGAGCCCGGCGGCGTGTGCGTGGGGCCACGCCGGGCCAGCCGCCCCGCTGAGCGCCGCGTCCTCAGCTGCATCCTGTGCCAAGAGGAACAGGAGGTGCGTGCCGACGGCGCCGCCATGGTGCTCGCCGCGCTGGTGCAGCACTCCACCGTGCTGGCTCGCCCGCATGCCACAGGCGACCCGGCGGCGCCGCCGTTGACCGCGGCAGATGCAGAACCCGGTGAGGCTCAACTCTCTGGGGCGATCGTGAGCTCTCGTCGGCGTTTTGAGTTAACTACCTCACCTGGTATACAGGATGTTAACTACCTCACCTGGTATACAGGAGGTCATGGGTTCAACGCTGACCCTGACAGTCTGTATTTTTGGAGTTTGCTTGTTCTCTCTCCCTGTGGTTGCATGGATTTTTCTTCGCCTCTGGTTCTTCCCTCCACATTTAGAATCAACTTGCATTTTGAAAAAGAGCTACAGTGGGCCTTACCTGGTAAACTCAAAATAGTAGTCGTCTAGTATAGAGTGGCTACCGTGGTTCCTGAGGTCACAGTGGATGCATCGAATCGCTCGTACAATAATGAACGTGTCTTTTGATTCTTATGCGTTGTATGTAATCCAGAGATGCTACCATGCACTTGAATGTAAACAAAAACATCCGTTCTTGAATCGAATTGCGACCTTTAATTGCGATAATCGAATCGCCAGGGGCCGAGAGTTAGGGGGATGGATTGTTCCAATTACAGTACAAAGACTAAGTTCCCTGTATAGTCTGAACAGACTGTTGGGGCAAGTGCTGTTAGTGAGCACCTATGAAGGCCAGCAGGGCACATGAGGGGGGGGGGGGTGGGTGGTCAGCACCACACCCGGCCGCCTTTGTCTCCGTAGTGGCGATGTTTACACCCTGCACCAGGTACTTATTTGAGGCTGAGTCGACCTAGGGGAGGCCCAAGACCGGTTCAGATATATTGTCCCTGGTGTTGGCTATGAGCGGGAATATCGAACCTGGGTCGCCGCGTTCGAATGCAGCGCGCTAACCGCTGCACCACGACTGTGACATGTACACACGTGAACATACACGCACAAAGGTCCCCTTGTTTAGCCCTCCAGAATATTGGGGCAAGTGCTGTCAGTGTCATCAAGTCAGGTATGGCACTCGAGTTGGTGGGACCGAGTGCCACACGTGCCGGCTGCTCCTGATGCGTACACGCTGCACCACGCACTCACTCGCATAAGTGCATTCATTGTGTTTCTCTGTGCAACCCTACTCTTTGCCATCCACAGACAAGTTTGACCCCCTGTTGGTGACTGCTGGCCTTCCTGTGGGCGTCCACAGTGGCAGCTGTGGCCATGTCATGCACGCGCACTGCTGGCAGAGGTATGTAACGTCACCCTTCTATCACCAGTCATCATCATCATCATCGGGAATGATCAATCCACTGCTAAATGCAGACCTCCCCGAGTCGCCGCCATCCTCCACGCTTCCACGATGCAACAATCCAGCCGGCAGGAGAGAATCTCATCATTCCATCTCCGCTGCCACTGCGTTGTAATTCTTGCCGACTGGCCGTCATCCCTTCTAGCGATGTGTCCACTTGTTAATGCTTACAATTGTGTCTCACCTGTGCCTGTTCTCTGCTGTGTGTGCTCCTCTGTCTGTCTCAATTGAAATCTTAAGCATGCTTCCCTTTGTGCTTCTCTGCACACTTTTGATCTTTGACTCCATCCTCTTCATCAATGTCCGTGTTGTTGATCCAGAATCAGAATCTTTATTTAGACTTCAGGAGGAATCCGATGAGCTATGAAGCTCTTTAACACGTAGGCTTTCGCGACCAATGTCATCCATAATAGAGGTTTTTTGGGTTAGATGGCGTAAAACCCGCCACCACAAATCTGGCTGTCGCCTGATGAAGCCAGTTGTAATTACTGGCGAAACGTCTTACTCAGTTTGTGAATGTTGTGGCTTGGCTCTCCAACACACCGGTGGTGCTGTACTAGTGACGAATTGGCCACGTTCTGTTTACGTGACAACCATTACTAGTTGGCTGTGTCGGGTGGTGGCGGGTTTTAACGACACATTTTTATATTTACGCGATCTAACCCAAAAACCTCTATAATTTCACAGATGTTTAGTATGGGCAGGTCAGCAAATTACAACAGCAAACGATACAATAATAGTGCAAATTAGAGAAAAAGATAAGCAAGTCACTAAATATATGTGTAAGAAAATTATATAAATCTGATTTTTCACACTTGGGCAATGGGCCCTGGTTAAAGGCTCTCGTCTTTGCACACGGCGGTGCGACGTGCGTTGCTTTTGATTCTCGTGTTTCACCTTTCGAACGAGCGCTCACAAAGTATCCTAGAGAATTAGGATGCTCGCATTTGATTTTCATTTGATTTTATTGAGACGCAGTTTGTGGCGCACAGGCCCGAAGGCCCAAAACGGTGAAGCTCCCAGCAACAGACGGCACGGTCACGGTTGTGATTGATACGAGATGAACGCATTTCTTGTTGTTGTAACAGCTCGGGAAAGGAGAGTGGAGGGAACCCTAAAATCGAGCAGGTGTATAAAATGAATACATGACAGAGAATTTTCTGTAGGCAACTGCTGCTCTCTAATGAGGGGTGGGGGTGAAAGGAAAATAAGAAAAATAGTAATTCGTTATAAAAGCTCGGCATTCTCTTTGTCCGTCTACTCAATTATAAGAGCCTTTCAGAAGGCCTGAATCAAATCATCAGTGTCATTGTCTGCGCGTGCGCATGCTTGTCTTGACAGGTACTACGAGCCGACGCAGGTGCGCGAGCGGCGCCAGTTCCGCCAGCGCATGCCCATGGACACGGAGACGGGCGAGTTCCTGTGTCCGCTCTGCGAGGGCATCAGCAACGCCGTGGTGCCGGTGCTGCCCGCACCGTGCAGCTCCCACCAGCTGCCACCCTCCGGGTGCGTGCGACGATGGGGGGTGGGACGACTGGCGCTGTGTGTAGTGAGGCCATAGAGAGGGTGGAGGTGGTCCCCTACCGATGGGGGCTCTGTGCCCCCCGGGCCTTCGATTTCCAGAGGCCTCAGCAGTGGAGCCTTGTCTGGTAGCTTGGTAACTTGGCCTAGGCCTCCAAAAGCCTTTTGTCAGCTCTGCGCTGCAGTGACAAAGAAACATTTTCCTGAAAATCAAAGCGAGAACTTGCACTAGTTGTGTGCCTTCTCCTTGAACCATTCTTTGTTCGTGCAACGCCCACTGTGAGATTTCAGAATGAATTGCATCTCTCATGGCGTGATGTCGATTGCAGATTTGTAATTCAATTGTGGGACAAAATAAACCGGCAGTGCTGTGTGTGTGCGTGTGTGTGTGTGAGCAGGGAGGAGGTGGAGGCTTTGGTTGAGCAGCTGACGCTGTCACGCTGGCTGGAGGTGGTGTGCCTGCGCATCGCTGGGCTGCGGCAGCTGCTGAACAGAAAACCAGGCAAATTATCCACAACAAGCTACACAGACACACACTGGCCTTAAAGCCCAAGCGCCGTAGCCTTATAGACCAGGGGTGGCTTTAGAGCATGCGGCTCTAAAGCAGTTCAATTGCTGCTCTGTAGAGACTCATCTCGGCTGATTTGTAACTTTTCAATCTTAGCTTGATGTGAAAAAGAAAAAAAAAATCTGTGGAAGCGGTGGAGGCTCGGGGCACTTGCCTTTGCCTGCGGAGCCAGACCCAGGTACTCATGGGGCGCTCCCACAGATTTCTAAATTCGAATCTCCACAGCAAACCAGCGCGAGCGAACCGGCGGTCACTGTGTGTGCGTCTTATGACTCTCGGCCGTGTGAAGATTCGGCTTATAGGGTCAAGATAAGTTGCCACCCCTTGTTATATAGCCAATGCGGCCAAGCGATGAGGCAACGTCTGTTCGGCCTATGAAGGTCCACACGTTGCATCTCATTGCGGCCTACGGACGCGTGCCCGGTGCGTTATTATCGCGCGTTAATGACGCCCGAGAACGGACGGGCGGTGCAGGGGGGTCGCGCGATCCGTCGCATGATCCTTGCGTGTCCTCCGTTGTTATTTCAGACAATCTGGAGGACAAAGGGGACGTCCAAGCTCCGCAGCCCCCCGCGAGTCTCCCAGAAGGGTTCCGCTCCATCCTCAACTACGGAGTCCGGCCCATGTATGGCTCGCACAGAACTGATTTGTGCACGCACCCAGGGAATGTGTTCGCTAGGATTTTTATTCTGATTGAGAGACGCAGCCACCTAGCTTGCCGGCCACATGTAACTTAAAGGATATTTTAGTCTATTAGCCCATTAGCTTTGCACACCAATGTTATCGCGCTGCATTTATTTAAGCATGCAAAACTGAATTTCGAACCAGGGTCTCATCAGCAGAGACTGGTTTCATTATGCAAACCGATCGTAATAGGTCAATTGTTCACTAATTGCTTAGCAGCGGTATTTGTGGACTCTGTTTTTTTTATCGTTTGGCCTCTCTGTGATTATTTAAGCAACCAATTACACTCCGATTATTTTTATCAGTGCGATTACACAGCTAAACAGATTACACGAACAAAGTTTGGGGGAAAAAGTCTCACCTCTGTTCTCACGTGTGCAAGTGGATTGGAGGTCATCAGCATGGTTTAGTGACATCATCAGCCACGTCACACTGGGGGAGTGGCTTGGAGGGGGTTTCCCACCTTCGGTGGAGGAAGGAGGTCGGGGCACCCACCATTTTTAAAGAAGCCCGAGTAATCGAGCGCAGAAGATAGATTTCATTTATTTTTTCAATTGATCGACTCGAATGACGAACCGTCGCCGCTGTTATTGTCTGTGCCGTGTGCACAGGCCCCAGTACTCGGAGAGCCTGTGCGGGATGGTGCAGACCTTCTCCATGGCGCTGTACCGCGCCTCTGTGTCGGCACACCCCAACGACCAGGACCCGCGCGTGCCGACGCTCGCCTGGCACACGTGCGCCTTCACCATCATGGCGCTGGGTGCGGTCACATCACCTGCATCTTCACCACTACCATCTCCTGCACTTGACCCAGCCCGAAACAAAGACAAAGTTCCCCTGTGTAGCAAGTGCCATTAGCCAGCACAGAGCCAGCACAAGAGTGTGGTGTGGCCAGCACCATACCTGACCCACCTTTGTCTACCCATTCCTGTTGAGTACCCGCTGCAGCAGGTATCCATTTGTGGCCGAGTCGACCTAGGTGAGGCCCAAAACAGGTTCAGACACACTGATGTTACCTGCAGACAGGAATCGTACTCGTGTAATCGAGCTTTGGCATTGTTTCTGCCTGACTGAGGTCCGAATAGCACGGCTGGGCTATGTTTGGTACGAAATAAGTTATACATAAATACAATGTAGGCGGACAACACACGAACGCAGACGTCGGTAAATGCTCGAGAGGGCCTTGAAGTGGCAGAAGTGACGACCGCGTTACAATTATAAACACACGGTTGGCAGGTCGATTGTACTCCCCTTTAGTACCCGATTAGCGAGACTAAGGAGTTTACGGTCACGGACGAATATTGCTTGAGGGGCCGAATGGAAGTGATAGGCCCGCAGGCTGCATGAAATGAAGTCGTGTGCCGTATCAAGCCTGCCGGTCCATCGGTTCTCCGCCCCTGATTTAATCACCCTCGCAGCAACTCGATCTCACCACAAGCTGTCCTGAATGATGTTCCACAGAATCCAACTTGAGAGCGGATATGAAGCCTCTCTTCGGCTCCCTGCCCAGCCGCCAGGTACGTCCAGGTCCCCCTCCTTCCTACTCGCCGCACAAAAAGAGAGAGATATCCCCTGTAGTCTACACAGACTGTTGGGGCAAGTGCTGTTAGTGAGCACCTATGAAGGCCAACACAGCACACGAGGGGGTGGGTGCCCAACACCACACCCGGCTGCCTTTCTTCTCCTGAGTGGTGACATTTACACACCATATCACGTACTGATTTGAAGGCAGAGTCGACCTAGGGGAGGTCCAGAACTAGTTCAGATATTCATCACTGATGTTGGCTGTGAGCGGGGTCTAGAACTCAGGTCGCAGAGTTCCTCGCGTAGTGAGCTACCCATTGTGCCACCGCTCCGCACAACGGACATCCACGCATTGACACATGCACGCAGCAGCCACCGTTCACCGTTTGAATGTCGGCGACGTTCCCACTGCGCTTGTGCACCGAGCTCCTATTTTGACCCCGCAAGTCGATCGTCCAGTGGCGTTGTGTTCAGATCTCTCCGTGCACACTGACTCGGGGTGTGTGTCACGTGCTCTTCTGCGCAGGTGGAATGCCTGCGCTCGCTCGTGCGACTGGCCGAGGCGCAGTACAGCATGGTGTCGTCCGCGGAAGTGGTACAAGGGCACGTCCTGCGTCTCTTCAGTGGTGAGCACACAAACGCTACAAAGATGAAGGTCCCCTTTGTAGCCTTAAGCAGAATTTTGGGGCGAGTTCTGTTCGCGAGTAGCACCCATGAAGACCGGCATTGGCCAACCCCACCCCCGGCTGCCTTTCGTCTCCCCAGTGGCAATGATTACACACCGCCGCACCAGGTACTCTCTTATTAAGGCTGAGTCAACTTAAGGAAGGCCCAGGACCGGTTCAGATATTCGACACTGGTGTTGGCCATGAGCAGGGAATCGGACTCAGGTCGCCGGGTTCGTAGCGCAGCTGTCCCCACACACACATGTACGACATTCCAGTAACAACGACTACCACGCGTGATGACTTTGCCACCTTCTACAGCCGCAACTTGCTCACCATCTCTTCACCCGTCTCTTCACAACCCCTCCACCCATGAATATAATTCAAACGTCTCATTTGTGATGTGTGTGTGTCACGCGCGACTCGTCAGTGACGATGCAATCATCTTTTGCGATTGTTTATCATCCCTCTGTAACCCATACCATCCAAGCACTGTTAACCTAGTCCACGTTTATTGCGGGTGTGAAATGATTCATCAGCCCTTCGATTTGATGAGTAATGTTTCGTAATTTGTATGTCTAGTTTGCAAAATCTCATTCTCGCTATTGGCTCGGCGTATCATCAGCGTGCACACATGCACACGCCCGGCTCTTTTGTCAAGCCTCCACTGGATGAGGAGTACCCCATGCCATATTGGTCGTGGGGGTTATTGACCATACTTCACCACGATGGTTAGTGCTGGTACGGCAAAGATGGGGAGCATAGACGTTGGAGCATTGCACAGTATAACAATGGAATACCCCGCTCAATACTCTAACAATGCAGCCACGCAGCGGCCTGTAGCAACCTGCTTCATGCACAGCGGTCACTCATGCAAGCACTGTCCAGACTCAACCGTGCATGGATGCCAAAGTGTGATGCGATTGAGACATGTTCCCACTCATTTGATCACCGGTCGTTATAATTTACAGGAAATGCGCGTGTACAACGGAAAACAATCCATTAGTGCACTGGCGACTCGCTGCGTGTACGGTCCGTTCTCCCATAACGCCGCGTGTTGTTTTCATAATGCGCGTTGGATATAATGCGATGAATGTATTAGGGAACACATTTTTTGTCACGCGGATGCGAATTGGATATAACGCGAGTAGGAATAAGCGGTTGCACGGCTGCTTCAGCATCACACAAGGCGGGATGCTGCTGGATGCTTCGAGACGCTACACATGCGCCTCAGTCTTTGTTCGGCCTGTGTATGCATCCCACGTGTTATCGTGGACTGTGCTTTACCCTTATATTATTTATTATAACGCAATTTTTCCATAACGCGGTGTTCTTCAGGAATGCAACTACCGCGTTATAGGAGAACACGATTGCATTGCGAGCGTAAGAGTTGGTTTTCGTTATTCGGTGCTACACAGCTCTCTGGCGAAGAGACACCAGCAATGGCTAAGTGCGGCGTGGGCGATTTCCAAGCGAGTTTCAATCAATACATTGTCGTGTGCCTCCATCCCCCCTCCCCACCTATGCCCTCCATCCCTGCCCTGCCACCAGTTCTCATCCCGGATCCGCAGGGGGAAGATTCCCCGTGTCTACTGGACGTCGATTTGACCCACCTACTGGTGAGTGTGCATGTTCTGCACGTGTGCGGATATGGATTTGGCGGCAATTATAAATGTATGCCTCGGTTGGAAATCCAGCTGCTTGGCTTCGGTGGACAACAAGGGAATACCAATTGTGCACTCGGAGATCGCTCGCAGTAGACAAGCGTTCACATAGAGACCCACAGACTTTCACGATGATGCACACACTTGCACGGAGACCCACAGACTCACACGGATACCCACAGACTTGCACGGAGACCCACAAATTCACACGGATACCCACAGACTTGCACGAAGACCCGGAGACTCACGATGTGTTCCACGGATTCCTGCGCTGTGCCCCAGTTGCATGCTGTCAACGCTGTTATTTTTCCATAGCTCTTTTCCGATACGCCGCACGCCACTACCGCCGCCCACTGCATCGTCATTTTTCTTCTTTCCCGTAACGCGATGCCAACGGGTCGCCATTCCAATCTGGGAGCACAGACACGCGTGCAACGCCTGAGCGAGCGATAAATGCGAAATGAGCGCGCGTTCGCTGTGCCGTGCCGTGCGCGCTGAGCAGCTGTGCGCCGCGCTCGCCTTCCCGGCACTCTACCACGAGGAGGGCGCCCCCCTGCGCCCCTCCCCCGTCGCCGCCTCCCTCAACGAGCTCCACCTCGTCACGCTCGTCACCATGGCGCACGTGCTGCAGGTGCTGCTCACGGCCGCTACCGTTGCCCCGACGCCAACGACGGGTGAGATCCCGTCTCCGGCCGCCGCAGCTTCACCGCTGCCTACACCTGCGCTCCAAAAGAAACTGAATTATATATTTCGTGACATTATAGTTTATTCTATTCTTGCGCATATATGTTTACACGGATGTTGAACTTCATTCGCACCGTACGTAGCCAACGACAGAAATGTTCAAGGAGCTCAAAGCCATTGTCGAGGCCTGCTGCTGGCCACGAGGAGAGGGCTTCAACAGAGTGTTGGTGTCGTGTTCCTGTTCTTCCTCCATTAAAGTTTAGACTGCAGTGGCTTTACTGTGCGGTCCGTAGTACTTGTTCCATACAGCGTAACGCATGCTGCCGTGTGCCGTTTGTTGCCGCCTGCTACCGCTGCAGAGGATGCGATGGAGGTGGACGAGGAGGTTGGCTACGGTGAGGAGGAGGTGCAGGCCGTGGAGGAGCTGTGCGTTCGGCTGCAGCAGGTCACGGCCGGGTGAGTCCCTCTCCCCTGCTGCTACGTGGCGCACGTCGGGGCTGCCCAGACGGCGGGCCCCGGCGACGACTCGCGCGATCCGGCCCCGCAGCGTCACGCACGCTGGCCGTGACAACCCGCCTGCGGGCAGGCGGAATTTGTAATTAATTATTTACAGGGTTACAATTGCCGTCATGAAATTGTTATTCACCAACTCGCACTGAGCGGAGTGGTGAGGTTTGGTCAAATCCAAACCTCGCCTGTATATACAGGAGATCGTGGGTTCAATCCCAACCCTGACGCCTGCACTACGGTAACGCCATTGCCTCCTAGCAACAAAGCCATTGGAAGTTTGAAACAAAGCTCATGGTCGCGACTGTATAGTGCTCAGCGTCTGGTAGACGCTTGTTAAGGCCCTACCCATTGTGCAATCCATAGCCTCAGCTGATATTTTGGAAACCCCCTACAGCCACTGAAAATATTACGGTGAACAAAGTGTGCCCACTTCAAACATTGTCGTTTCATTGTACAAACAATTCGAATCATTTAAAACGTGATAACATGTGAAATTTTAGTGTGAGTGGTTTATTCGGCAGTGGATAGTCCTACCATGAATTTTTTTTTACGAGTTATGACATGTCACACGTGTCATATTTTTGGGATAGCCCGCACCTCCATATACCCCGCAGGGTCTTGTTTTGTTTGTAAAAATTGGTCTACCCCACGGGTTATATGCGGGAAACAACGGTACACCTTCAGTGATGCTGTTTGTGACTGGCTGCTTGGCACTTTGGGCCTGTGCTCTCAAAAAATTGTTAAGAATCAGTATCCGGACCTGGACTAGGTCGACTCGGCCTAAAAGAGTTTTGTTATGTCTGCCGCCAGGGCGTACGCGTCGCGCGTGCCGGCCAGCCGGCTGGCTCGCTCTATACGGGTGGGCGTCGCGCCGTTCCTCCGCTGCGCCGCCACCTTCTTCTGCCTCCTGCACGACAGTCCACCGCCCCCGCAGCTAAGAGGTGCGACGTGCTCCCATCGCTGCGAGATCCGCAACCCCTTCGACCAAACTTGTCGGGTTTGTATACGTGCACCCTACCGCGGCTGGCTTAGACCGCTGTATAAATGTGAGTATTTTTGTTCCCGTGCGATCTCTTGGCTCGCAGAAGCCAGCGGGCTGGAGTTTGAGACCCTCTGCCGGTACCTGGCGCTTCCCACCAACCTGGCGTCGCTCTTCCAGATCCACGGCGCCTGCATCGATTCCCTCCTGCGCAGGTCCATTTTCTGTGTGGAGTTTGTATGCTCTCTCCCCCCCTGTTCTGCATAGGTTTCCTCATGGTGATATGGTATCCTCGCATAGCTAAAAAAAAGTTATACAATGTAACTGGTATTGGCCAAAACATCCTAATGGTGCAAATTACTCGATTGGAATCACACACAGCAACGTCGACCCCTACTGCGACAATTAGGCATGACATGCCGGAAAAAAAACTATTGGTGCCCGGGAAAAAAACGTAGGGTGCGCAACTTAAACCACCAACAACAATCGGCAAGATGAGCCCCGATCTGGGGATTTAAGCAACATCGAGTGACGTGATTCCGTGACTTGATCCGTCAGGGCCATTCGCGGACACGGCTTTCCATTCTCCTCCTGAGTGCAAAGAGTTCCGTAGTGAACCCTAAACCCCGCTTCATCTCACGGAACAAAATCAGGACTGGGCCTGTCCATGTCCAAATCCCCCCAAAATGGCGACGGTAAAAATAATACTCTAATTTTGTGTAGCGTCATTAATGCCAACAGGATCCCTCAATGCTATGCATTAATTATATATATATATAAGGACGAAATCCCATATACGCGGTTGGCTTTGTGCGGCGCAAAAGAAGCCCAACACACACACACGTACCAATCGAATGAAAACCACCCTGATTACCAAGCGAAATCAAAAATGAATGAACAAATGAAGAAATGGCACCAAAACAAAAAAGCACAAATAAAAACAACAAAAAGTTATCAAAACAAAGACCGATGTGGTCAACATCAGCGTTGGATGACCGAGGCGGGCGGGCGAGCGAGCGAGCGAGCGTGCTCGGTGCTGACCCTCCCATCTCCTGGGTCGCGAAGCCTTGCCGGTCTAAATAGGTGCTCGCAAACGGCGCTTGACGATATCAAGTGGCTGAACAAGGGTGCACGGTGAAAATATAAGAACAGGCTTTAGCCTTCCTGGCAATAAAACAGGTGTTAAGATATCAGAGCATGTTTGTTTGCATGTTTTGCCACAAGTACATGTGGTTAATGCAGACGTGGAGCCTTGCAATAGGTGTCTATTTGGTGTTTGAACATTTTAATACCTGTTTTATTGCCAGAAGGGTTAAAGCCTGTTCCTATTTTTTCATCATTTTGATGGCGGCAAAAAGGTATCCTCGTAAGTATTGGTACAGTGATACCTCGGTTCACGAACGCTTCTGTTCACGAACAACTCGGTTCACGAACAGAAAAGTTCATAAAAATATGCTCCGGTTCACGAACTCTGCTTCGGTTCACGAACAGGAGCCGTGGCAATTTTAATGCTATTTCCAGGCTGTCACATGGTCGTGACTTCCTGTAGGAAGATCGTGGAGAGAAGAAGAGACGCAGAAAGAAGTACTGTGAGTACTGTGAAGACAATTTCAGTGACTTTTTGCTTTTTGGTGTGCTTTTTAGCACATACAGTACTGTACTGTACTACTGTACTGTACAATACTGTACTTACTGTATTGTACAGTTCACCCGTTTGAGTGCTTACTGAAGTCATCTTAAGCAAGGTTAGTGTTCTCTCTTTATACATTACTATACTGTACAGTACTAATGTGTATTGTAATTTGTTTCATATTTTTGTGTTTCAAAAACCAAAAAAAAAGGTCAGAACGGATTAACCGGATTTACATTGAACCCTGTGGGAAAATGTGCCTCGGTTCGCGACCAGAGTCAGTTCACGAATTAAGTTCGTGAACCGAGGTATCACTGTACTTGTGTCCACGTGTGAATATGTTTTTGTATGTTCTGTCATCATATATATATATATGTGTGTGTGCGTGCGCATACGTGGCTGTATTTTCACTTAACAGCACTTGCCGTAAGAGTCTATGTAGGAAATACAGGGGGCCTTTGTCTTGTTGGGTGTGTGTCTTTATGTCTCGGTTTCATTGTCGCTGCTTGTAAGGTGTAAGGTGATCGCTTACAGCACTTGCCCCAACAGTCTTTGAAGGCGATACAAGGGATCTTTGTTTTTGTATATAGGGGAGTGGTAGTGCAGTGGTTAGTGCACTGTGCTATGAACCTGGTGACCCGAGTTAATTCCCGCTCACAGCCAAGACCAGTGATGATCATCTGAACCGGTCCTGGGTCTCGCCTCGGTCAACCCAGTCTCAAATGAGTTCATAATGAGATGTGTAAACATCACCACACGGGACACAAACGTGGCTGGGTGCGGCGCTGGCCACCTACCCTCTTGTGCCGTGCCGGCCTTCATAGGTGCTACTCACGAACAGCACTTGCCTCAAAAGTCTGTTAAGGCTATACAGGGGATCTTTATCATTATATATATGCGTGTGTGTGTGTGTGCTGTAGTTGGTGCTCGGCTCCGGGGGTGACACGACTACTCAAAGGAGCAAGAAGCGCAGTCACGTGAGTCGTCCACTCGTAGAGAGCGGCTTCCCATCCTGTGCTCATCACGACCATCGCACTAGCATCGCCGCTGCCACCACCGCCATCGCCGCCACCGTAACCCTCGCCACACTCATCACCGCCGTTGTCGTCACCGTCGTCACGGCGCTTGCCTGAAACACTTTGAAGGCGAGGGTTGGTGGATCGTGTAGATGTGTCCAATCTCATTCGCGTAATCAACTTTAGTGTAACATCACATGCCATCCCATGATATACATTCTCCAGTGCAGTGTTCACAATGGGTTTTTTCGGCTGTTGGTGGCGTTATGGTGGGCGGCAGAAGGAAGAGTAGAAATAATGCATCGTTGTACTTTATTCTATGCTCCCACATCTATGCTTCCCACTTTCACAAACCCGTACTGACCGGCGTGGTCAGCGTGGCCAAAATCGACCGACGGGGGATCTTTGTCTCTGCAGGTTTCCACGCGAGGAGAACAGACTCGTGTCCCTGCCAGATGATTACAGCCAGCTCATCAACCGCACCTCGCTCTACACGTGTGTGCCTCACGTCGTGCCACGTGCCCCGCCGTGCCACGTGCCAGTGTCCGAACACTCGCCCTGACCTGCAACGCTAACCCTAGCCCTGGTCCCATTACACTGGTCAACAAAAAAAAAAATTCTGGCCTGGACTTTTGCAGCTGTTTTAGACTAATTTCAGGGTGCTGATTCCAAATCTGATCTCAGATTTGCTCTATCACATCATTTTTATGCTATCAGCATACCCCATTTTCATTGATTTTACCCGAAATTAACTGTCACTTATGATTGCAAGTTGTTGCGAGTCAGTGACTGCTTTAGTGTTAAAATATGGTGCTGTATTTTTAGGATAGTGTGTTTATAATATCATTTTATGTAGATATCCACATTTATTTAATATTTTTCTTCTGCAGTTTTTATTGAAAATGCAATATTTGATATCTCAAAAACCTGATGGGATAGACAAAAACTGATGCCAGATTTGGAATCAGCACCCCAAAATTACATTGAAACCCTTGGAATACCTTATGCCAGAAAAAGTGTGTTGACCAGTGTTGTTGATGTTAACTTTACACAATAACCTGAATATTCACACGACCTCTAGCCTAAGCACGAACTCTATCCATGATAGTAAAATTAACTGTAATGTCTAACCTGACTAAGTTTTGCTCCAACATTTACTACCATCACTCTGCCTCTGACATAAATGCTGCCACTTATTACAGCATGGGCACCACCATTGCCACCTTGACCCTAACCATACGTTACACGATATTTCCAAAAACCACGTCCTTAACCCCCTACGTTAACACTAATCTCAACATTAATACGAACCCTAACCATGACATTAACCCCTAAGACCAATACCATATCTACCCTTATACTAACACTAACCCTAGCTGAACCTTATCCTAACACTAACAGAACCCTATCCTAACACCAACCCTGACCCTAACATCAAGACTAGCCCGTGACCCAACCCTAATGCAAACACCACTTTTACCTCTGACCTTACACCAAGCCAAACGATGACCAAACCGTAAAATCTTTAATACAAATCCCAAACACGAACTCAGACCCCGACCTGGACTCTAACCCTCCCCCCACCCCCGTGCCGCTGCAGCTGCCCGAACGGCGGCGCGGAGGGCGATGCGGCGCGCTCGATGGCGCTGTGCCTGCTGTGCGGCGCCAGCTTGTGCTCGCTCTCGCTGTGCTGCCAGACCACGCTGGGCTCGCGCACCGTCGGGGCGTGCACGCTGCACGCGCTGCGCTGCGGCGGCGGCGTCGGTATCTTCTTGCGGTGAGGAGGCACCACTCGGACCGCACTACCGCCGCACCGACGGCACAACACCACCGCCACTTTACATCCATCCCACGTCGCATCCTGCGCACCCGTCCCACGTGTCATCTCGCGTCCTGTATATCCATCCCACGTGTCCCTTGCGTTCTGTATAATATACATCCATCGCTGCCCGTGCATTCCACGCAGGGTGCGCGAATGTCAGGTGCTGCTGCTGGCAAACCGGACGCGTGGCTGCTTCATGGAAGCGCCTTACCTGGACGACTACGGGGAGACCGACCAGGGCCTCCAGTGAGACTCTCCCCACCCCACACACCAGGGCCATCCGTTGTATCTGGGCCAACTGACCACCGCATCTCTGAGCATAAGCCCAGCATACTACACATGGGGAAACAACACACCCGTTTCTGTTCTTCCAAAACTCATTATACAATCTTGTCGAACACTGGGTAATTGTTCGTCTCTTGACATAAAATAAAAACATTTTAGTGCAGTCAGCCTATGGGGCTCTTCCAGACCAATGTTATACACTGACATTTATTTAAAAAATTCAAACCCTAGACCGCTTTTGAAGTTAGGGGTCTCATCGGCAGTCAGGCTTGTCAAACAAATGCTGCCAACTTGCTGTAACGTATTGGTGAGACAGCTCTGGCCTACAAGGGTGGGGCCCTATTCAACACGAAAAATAATCGCGTGCAACCCCATCGTGCGTCATCGTGGCTGTGGAGTGTTTTTACGTTGAACAAGGAAGGACCCCGTACAATGAATATCCGCCAACCCGGCAATCATTCACTCAGCAAAGCTGACGTTGTCTTTGCAGTCGCGGCAACCCGCTGCACCTGTGCCCAGAGCGTCTGGCCGGCCTGCAGCGCCTGTGGCTGGAGCACGGCGTGCTGCACTCCATCGGCCACTCGCAGGAGAGCCAGCACCTCGCCTACTCCTGGGAGCTCTTCTAAGGGCCCGGCGGTCGTCCTGCTGTAGCACCCACCCCCCCACCTACCTACGCAGCCGGCCAGCTACTCGGGAGGGTTGGCCAGCTAGTGAGGCAACCGAGGCAGGCAGGCAGTCAGTCGTTTATACAGCCAAGCCAGCAAACCGGCCAGCATGCCAGTCAGCCACCCAGTCATCGATCGTCCTTTTTCCACTGCCATATCTGAGCCGAGCCAGCACGGGGCCCACGTTGTGGTTTGCCACTGGCCGTTTGCCGTGCTGAGGCGGAAGGAAACTGTAATAATAACGCTGGGCCTCGTACAACTTCTAAATCTATGTTGGGGGCCAAGCAGGGCCAGGGAGGGGTTAACGACACGTTCATTGCGCATGTCGTCGGCAGCGTGGCTCGGTTTACTGCAGTGGAAAAATGACCTGCACCTCCTGACTCGCAACGGCCTGGCTCGGCACGGCCCTTGGCGTCGCTCGGATGTGCCGGTGGCTAAGGGTCTGTGAGGTCATCCAGTGAGACAGGTGGTTGGTCATTTAGCTGGGTAGTTGGTGAGCGAATTGGTCAGAAGGTTGGGCCGTGGTGGACCGCAAGGTCTGGAGTGTGGGTAGTCTTGAGACGGTATAGCCATTGCTTGTTATGGTGGCTTGCCCTGATTTAACCATTTGTTTATAGCTGTCATTTATGAAATCAATTTAGTCATAAACTTTATTTAAAGCTTTCATGACTGCAGGAATTACTCTTTGGTTCTTTTGGTAAAGTCACGTAGAAAGAAAATAATTTGTTTTCTCTCTCCCTGTGTGTCTCTCTCTGCTTGTGTCTGTCTATGTGTCTCCGTGTCTGTGTTTTGTCTCTCAAATTTAGCAATCTTTGGAAGAATGTAATCAACCAGGTGGGGTGCTGACTGTTGTGTTAGCCGACTCTCTGTGTTGTATTGCATTATATTTCTAAGTTTACTAGGTTTGTTTTCTCATTCATTCTTACCTGATTACGATTGCTTTTGTTGCAATCGAAACGTCGTGTTCTATTACTTAATTTATTTTCTTTCTACGTTACTTTACCGAAAGAACCAAAGAGCAATTTAGTCATGTATTCATACCTCTGTACCCGATTTCTGTTGCAATGTGAACACCAAAATTGAAAAAAAGGAAGATAAAATGGACCTTTCCCTCGTGCTGGATATCAAGTTGGGGGTGGGGATAGATTGAGTGGGAGGAGACTGGTGCTCGTGGCAGATGGCTTCTTGAAAGGAGGGGTTACAGTGCATTGCACCCACGAACTGGGCCGCTCATTTTGGCCTTCACAGTTTTTTTTTCATCCCGTTTGATCGCCGGTATTTTACTCAGCATGAGCACCGCTAAGCCACGGCCCACTGAGGTCACCCTGAAATATTACTCGGGTCTCACTCGACCAACAGCGGCTCAAGCGCGCAGTCGGTGTCGACTATCGATCACACTCTTTGCAATTGTGCAGATTCAACTTCCGTGATAATTTTCCAAATGTTTTAATCGGTCTTAAGTGATTACCCCAATATCTGACGTTGGAGAGTTATTCACAGGTAAGCTCTTGAAATGCCCCCCCCCCCCCAATTCCCCTCACCGCATTTTCAATTTACCACCACATCGAAACGTTCTGTCTCTATACACTTTGGTAGGAATGTTCCTGTTTTGGCCTCCTGTTGATTTGAAGCAGTGCCATTGGCAATAGCTTTGGCCGGTCGCACGCGTTACTGTCACAAGGAAAATAGAAATGGTCACTGTGTCGGTGAAGGTTTTTTGTTCGACCGTAAAATGGTGGCCATCGAACACCGTCGACGTCAAACGCAGCGATCTTTGGATAAAAGCTCCCAATTCAAAGCCGCAGCCGACCAACCCCTTCTTGATTTTTCAGAATTCTAATATTGTATTATTATGTTCTGCATCGCTTCGTACGTATGTGCGTGTTTATGTTGAACTTCTTCTTCTGCACCGTACGTAGTCACCCTTCATTACAAGCATTTGGAAGACACGAAGACAAATTGCCCGCGTATCTTACACCGTCAAAGGTCATAGTTTGAGTGATGGTTCTGCCGTGAAACATTGAAATCGGTTTTGATTACGGGTTTTATCGTCTGTAGCTACTGGCCGATTATACTGCATGTTTTAGTTTGGCATTTCTTGGACTATGTTTCATTATGAGGCCTGAGGATCGTCACTGAACATTGTCATTGGTGTTCAACATTGGCTTGGCAGATTTTTGTGCTTTTCTTCTGTCCACGCCCGTGAGCTCCTTGCCGTGTGAAGAGAGTCATTGCGGGCGCGACGCACACGCGGTGTGGCTCGCGGCAAACGGCAGGAGACGCGTGCTGACATTTTCACGTCTCATTGTTGCGATGCAGCTGTATGCAGGCAAATAGAAACACGTGTTGTTCTCCAGATAAACACGCACACACACATATACAAAATCTACAGTGTTTCTACATGGTCACACTACGTAAGCATTGTAATATTTGTTTCTGGCTTATATGGCAAGTATTTCCTTGTGACAATGCGGCCCGGACAATGTCCTAGCAACTCGGGCGATCGCTGTATGGGCTGAATTTGGAAATATAGATTGTTGCATAATGCCCCCCGAGTAGTTCTGAAAACTGGCCAGGGTATAGGAACACAATGGCCAGCTTGCTTTTGCAAGTCATCTCACCGTTTCCTCTGTGTGTGTGTGCATGCACGCATCATCAGAAGTTTGTTGATTGTGAGGGAAGGGCGAAATATATTTTGAAAGGTTATATCCAGCCAATGGGACGTTGATGCGGTGTAGTGGTTCGCGCACTGGACTTGCATTACAGAGGTCGCAGGGTTGATTCTATCTCCCGGGGTGGCAGTCGACACAGCCGTGCAAGTTTCTTAAATCGCTCGCCGCCGCCTCCATTCACCCAGCAGTATAAAAAATTGTTACTCCACAGTTGGTAGGTCACGTGTGGTGGGGTAAAGTGTGGGTATGCCCACCTGTTCCAAGACTGTCTCACCAGTGCGGAAGAGTAGACCAAGCACCCTCTTAGAGGGGGATCTTTAGAGCTCCCTCCAGTGGAGGCCTTTCTGCCAGCAGTGACGTGAGCCAGCAGTTGCAGGGCTGCTCCCTCTATCCAGGTTTTTTCCCCCTTAGCCATGCGACAACTGTTATCTCAATGTTGACCTATTTAGTGAAAAATACATTGGAGTGGGGGTATCCACTTCGTCTGTGTGGGGTTGTCTCCAAGCACTCCGATTTCTGCCCACACACAATACGAGGATTCAGAAACACGAGGTTTTCTGAACGTCTCAACAAGGGTGCCACGGTGGCTAGGAGATGTTAACCACCTCGTCTGGTATACAGGAGGTCGTGGGTTCGATCGCGACCCTAACGCCTGCTGTATATTTGGAGTTTGCGTGTCTCTCCCCGTGGTCACGTGGATTTTTCTCCGGTAATTCCCTCCACATTTAGAAACACGCGTTTTTAGAGTATTTGGCTGCGAAATCAATTTCCACACGATAAGCCACTTAGTTGAGCTATCATTTGTGGCCAGGTCGTTTCTGAAAAAGAGCTGTATAGAAACTCAGTGGTGGGCCTTACCTGATCAAATAAAAAATTCATTTGTCTTAATTTTAGTTTTCTCTCATAGCAGGGCCCTCCCGAGGTCTGATTGTACGAAGCGATCCATTTACAGATACTCCACTCATGACCCCTCGCATGATCAATGGCCCTGGCTTGCTCATCATTGCAACGCGTAAGCAAATCGAACCGGGCTGTTGGGACACAGTACGTCGGGACAGCGTGATGAAATGTAAAACAATGCGCATTGAGTGGTGGCAGTTGACGTGTGGAGAGGCGTTTAATTACAATGTTGTTTGCTCTACGATTTCCCCATTATTTTAGTGTGGTGTGTCTATAAACAGCTGGTCACGTATAAACAACATGACTTCTTATCATAATCGTTGCACGGTCGTTCTACACGGCTTCCTTGGAGCACTCGAACACACAAATAGGAAGATCACAATTTCGAAATCACGGCGAGAGGTCAAACTCAGCCCATCATCTTTACGGGATTCATGACACGAGTACTGTATCGTGCCACATTTTAAAACGTCAAAAGGGTTTTCGACCTGTATACAAACTCGCCTGCCCTGGCAATGTCAAGTGTCCGTTGCATCGGGCAGCGCAGAAAAGAGCCATCGTTGTCCCGTGGGAGATGAATGGTCCGTCAACCTCCACGACCCACACGGCGTGGGGAGGGCCCTCATCCAGCAGTGGATTGACGAAAGGGCGGCACGTGCACAAGAATTCACGTGGGACCCCCCTCTCCCCAACTCTTCTCTAATTGCTGTGCGCCCACACGTGCTGGCAAGCGGATGGGTTTGTTAGTGCTGTAGCCCAGTGTACAGAGCTGTATACTAGTGCAGATTGTTTTGATTCAATAAATCTTTATGCATAAAATAGATTGGGCGTTTTGTCAATTCCATTCTTCGTGTGTGTTTCGTGGGGAGCGGTCGTGTAGTGGTTAGCGCGCAGCGCTACGAACCCAGCAGCCCGGGTTCGTTTCCCGCTCACGGCTTAACACCAGCGACGAACATCTGATCCGGTCCTGGGCTTCTCCTAGGTCGACTCAGCCTCAAATTAGTACCTGGTGCCCGTGCCGGATTATCCTAGTAGCACAAGTAGCTACACATGCTACGGGCCCCGCACTTTCAAAGGCCCCGCGCTAAATGCTTTCAAGCTATCAATTCCGGTTCAGTGATTCTGCACTTGCTCTATTGCTATAGTACTATACTGCCTTCAACTTTTATAAACGATTGGATGTTTAAGGTTAGCGATTTTTCGTATTATCTGGCTGTATAGCAAATGAAAAAAGCAAGTACTTTACTATGCAAGTAAAAAATTAAGTTTTTACGTGTTTTTTTTTTATTTAGGGCCCCTTTATAACAGATGCTACAGGCCCCGCACTAGCTTAATCCGGCACTGCCTGGTGCGGTGTGTAAATATCGCCACTGCGGCGACAAAGGCGGTCGGGCGTGGTGCTGCCCACCCACCTCGTGTACCGTTTACAGCCTTCACAGGTGCTTGCTAACAGCACTTGTCCCAACAGTCTGTTAAGACTATATGGGGGATCTTTGTAATTGTGCTGAAAGGAGTACCTGGTGCGATGATGGCAGAGGTCGCAAACGGGTTTTGATTCATTACCCGTACCCGGCCGCACCAGGGTCGCAAACGGGTACCCGTACCCGGCCGTACCCTACCTGTACTCGGCCGGGTACGGGTATCGGGTACCTGATTGTGACCTCTGGGATGAAGCCATGTTGCAGGCGCGGGTGGGTTGATTCTAGGAACTTGAATTGTGAGAAGAGACAAGACGTTGGGGAATGAGTGACAAACGGTTACTCACCAGTGACTCGCGGCCTACCCGTACCCGGCCGCACCCGGCCGGGTACGGGTAGCCGGGTATCGGGTAGGGTACGGGAATCGGGTACCCGGTTGCGACCTCTGGATGATGGGTAAACATCGCCACCAGGGAGACGGCATGGTGCTGGCTCCCCACCCACTTGTGTATGTTGAGCTACTACATCGCGAAACGTGCGAATCGGAGGGTGCGGGTCTTAGTAGTTGCTCGCGAACGTCAATTGCCCCAAAAACCTCGGTTCAATTCCCATGTGCACATTCTTGTCTATAAACATGAGTCTGACTTGAGGTCAATTTTACCTTGAATTTAGTATCAGTTGCAGTGTTGTAGACTAATGCCTGGTTCCAGGTCGATGTGATACCGGTGTAGTGAGTCCAACCGAGTCGCAGACTTTATCTTAGGAGCAACACTATTTATTCCGCATTAACACACAACACAACACGATCTACACTCGGGTCTCGAATGCCCATCTAACCCACGCTATGGCAGAACTAGACACGGTTTGCTATCCCGGTCCGGACCACGAGCTGGGTCCCGGACCGCGTGGCTAGAGGCTTCTTCTCCCCGACGTGGATCTTCTTCACACGAGCAACACGAAGAACCCCGAGCTCCTCACGGGGCCCTCGTTATATGCCCCCGGGCTGGGGCTGGCTCCGCCCCTCGCCCCGCCCACCTTCCAGGTCTCTCGAGATCCTTCTCGAAGGTTCCCGAGAGCTCCTTTGGACCACGTGACCGCCTCACGGCCCCCGTCCACCGGTGGACCCCCTGCAATATCCGGTCACGTGACAGCTGGTCAACCAGCGTATCATGCCCCAAGGTAACCCTGGCTGGCTGACGCTCCCTCTCGCTCCTTCACCGGTAGCCTGCACCGCACGCTGCTCGCGGTGCCTCTGCGCTAACCAGCGCTCACCCAAGCCCCGCTAGGGCTGGTACTACACCCCGTAACCCAGGCTGCCCGTAATGACAACACATTACCCGCCGTGGCTTCGCAAGCCCCGGCAACATAGTGACAAGCACAGTCACTACACCGGTATTGGTCAGTGCTCACTAACTGCACGAGACGGGCAAGAGTCACGTCCCTGCCGTGACACTCAAAGATAACCATGTCCCAGCGTAAAGCCACCGTCTGGGCGGGACAGTCCCAGGGTCACAAAGGCTGCATCGTCCCAAAGCTCTTGTGAAAGTTGGGTGTTGATTGTACATCCGGAGTGTCGTCGTGAGAATCAACTTGCCGTTGCTTCCAAACAGGATCGAGCTGCCCCATAGAATGCATTAACAATGCAGCGGTGGTGGATGTTAGGGGCCAAGCAACCCAAGGAGGCAACTTTGCTGCCAGGGTGTGGTGTGTGTGTGTGAACTTGTCCCGTGCCTTCAACTGTATGGCCAGTAATAGAAACAGGAGACGGTGCGGTAATGGTAACCGGCACTTTGGTGCGCAGGACGTGTGTTGAGACCCGTGGCACTGGCTGCCTGGTCGGTGCCGGCCAATGCAGAGGGAGGCCCACGTGATCGTGAAGAAGACCGCGTCGTAGACATGGGTCGAGGTCGGTGAACGGTCTACCTCTGACTACCTCGCCAAAGGCGGGCGAAGATCTCGACACGATCCAGTCGCGAACCGAGCAGAGGGGCCGGAGTGATGATGCACCGCCTTGACGGGACCACTGGACAAAGTGACCTAAGTGAATGGGCAGTTTGTCGTCGATGCGAGCGCATGAGGTCGCAGCAGAGTGGGGATCCTGGCTACAGTGATCCAGAAAAGGTCGTGGTGGTGGTGTTCCAGTGGCTCTGCAGGCCATGGCACAGTGCCTCTTGGTCTACGGAGTCAAATGCAGCTTCGATGTCAGGAAGTGCCATCTCGACGAGAAGGCAAAGGGCAGGGAACTGCGTCGATAGTCGATTGCCCTTTGCGAACCCCTGGGTTGCCAAGTCGTGCCACGCCGCAAAATCATCTTTTGCAGCCAGGCAAGTAGGACGGAAGCAAAGTCCTATCCTGGAACCAACAGCGATATCGGGCGGTAGCCGAGATGCCTCTCCCCCTTGTTAAAAAAAACCACACGCCACTCATTACATTAACCACCATGACGAGGTAGTTTATTTGGGGAACCACACGTGGGTATGTCTGTGACGCCGATAACACTTAGCTTCACCGTGTGCGCGCAACGCGACGCTTTCCAAGTCACACGTAAATTAATAACGCGCACAAACCGACAATTCCACATCAGGACACAAAGCACCATTGTTTAAACTTCATCGGGAGTCAACTGGGATGTTACAAAACCCAATTATTTTGTATTCTTGCCCCAGAAATATAATTGAATGCGGTCATTGTCAAGATGCAGCACACACTGGAATGTGTAATGTTAACATTTACAACCCTCAATGTATCCCAGGGTAATGTGGTGGGGGGGGAGGCAACGAGGTGGCCTGAACAAAACAGGAGACACGAATGCAAGATGCGTGTCGGGCTATAAAAACGTAACTACGCCGGGTACGAAGATGTCGAACGTGTTATATTGCTTGCTGAAGTCACCGGTTTACTTGCCCAGGTCACGTGCGAACCGAGTCGCCACCAACCTGCAACGAGTTCGGAGCGGCTGATAATGAAACTACTTGTTCACCCAAATATGTTTTGTGTTTACTTTTTTTTTCCTTCCACGAGCACGGTTTAATCCGCAAAGCCGAGTAACCCACCCACCCACACAGACAACGGAGAGTTATAGCCTGTGTGACGAAGCGGCGAGTTCCGGCAGACGAGTGAGAACAATTTGAGGTTGGAGGTTGGGGGGTGGAAATTCGCCACGGAGTTCCGTGTCAAGCGGCCACCTCATGTGTCCACAGTTCTCTTGCACAGTGCATTGAGTTAAAGCTCGAAGGAATACATCCTAAAGGAAGCGAGGTGAAGAAGTATGCTACGTAACACAATTCTTGTTCCTGGGTAGTGTTATTTTGTAATTACCTATGCCTAAAAAGTATAGAAAATGGCTATTATTCCCCACAAATTCTGCTTTTGTGACCAGGACAGTGATATTTCGAAATTTACCTATTTTCCAATGAGAAAATGGGCGAATTTGGGTATTTTCGTTCACAAAGTCAGAAAAAAACAACATATTAATCAAAATTAACATGTATTTATACTAAAGTAATACAAAAATGACTACAACATATTTAGAAGTGAGTAGTTTTTCGAGATTTGCGATTATACTGTAAATCACTTTCACGAATCAGCCCCCAAATGTAGTCTGCCATCATGTTCTCGTTATACTGTCCTTGCTAGCAGCGTTAAAAGTCCAGTATATCCTGGTGGAACTGCTCGCCTTGCTCCTCCGAGTACGCTCCCATGTTCTCCTTGAATTTATCAAGATGAGCAGCAAGGATATGGATTAGGAGGGACATCCAACAGCCCATTGTGCCGTAGTTCTTCAAAGTCTCAACCAGCTCCACATAGTTTTTGACCTCGTGATTGCCCAGGAAGCCACGAACCACTGCGACAAAGCTGTTCTAAGCCACTTTCTCCTTACTAGTGAGCTTCTTGGGGAATTTATTGCACTCCGGGATCTTCTTTATCTGGGGTCCGACAAAGAAACCGGCTTTGACTTTTGCCTCAGACGGCTTAGGGAAGAAGTCTTGAAGGTACTTGAAAGCTGGCGACTCCTTATCTGCAGCTCTGATATTGTTTCATGAGGCCCAATTTGATGTAGAGTGGTGGCATCAGCACCTTCCGGGGGTCCACTAGTGGCTCCCACTTGACGTTGTTCCTCCCCACAGAGAACTGTGGCCAGTCTCGCCTGTGGTAGTGCACATTGGTTTCCCTGCTGTCCCAAAGGAATGCCACCATTTTGAAGTCTCCGATGACCTCCCAGCCGTACTTCAAGGCGTCCAGCAAGGTTTTGATGCTGTTGTAATCCTCTTTGAGGTGCACCGAGTGAGCCAGGGGCAGAGACGGGTACTTGTTACCATTATGGAGCAGCACGGCTTCGAGACTCCTGGATGAGCTGTCAATGAAGATGCGCCACTCATTCTGGTTACAGGTGATTCCGATTG